TTATGTTTTAAGCGGTGCATAACACTTTCCATACAATGTATTTTGTATAGATAGTGTTGTGCGCGGCACAGTACATTCTATTGAAAATGTGCTATCTTCTTTGTAATAGAAAGTGTTGTGCGCCGCACAGAACATTAATACAGAATAAACATGGAATTCATTAAAAATTTCAAGCACAAGAAATAATGCAAATTCCATAATTAAAAATAATTCCAAGTTCAAATAATAGCCTGTTTTTTAAGCTTTTCTGTTGATTATTATACCGGACATGTACCGGTAATGTTGATATGCTTTGTTTTCTTGTTTATTCATCAATGACTTTGTTTGTTTCTTTGTAATAAACAGAATCTACAATAAATAATAATAATAGTTATGCACTTACCATTCAGGAGATTTCGATCATCAAATTGTTTTATCTCCACAAAAGCTGTCTTGTCCCTTATTCCACTACAGTCATTGACAGTTTTATGTTGTTTAACACATTTTAATGAGCAACTTCCTACCAAGCACCTAGGGCACTTGTACTTTGCAACACACTCCGAGCATATCTCACACTTTCTGCAAAAAAATAATAAAATATTTGTGACTTTTGCAATATTCAGGATGACAAAACATTCATCACTTTTTGAAAAAAACATGTATATTTAGTTTTATTATAAATTAATCAGATTTTTGTTTAAATGTAGGAGCGCAAACTATGGCATCAAGTTTGGCTTTTTTTTAACATTTTATCTGTGATTTGTAACACCTTTTCAGCTGACATGGTTGAGTTAGATGTTCTCTTTTTTTAATTTTATTATGGCATTTCATTCCAAATTGATATTTTTGACATTAAGTTTTTATAATTCAGGTATTAAAGTGATAAATATTTTGTTGGGTAAAACAGTAATTTTCATTCTGTTTTTAGCAAGGTTTTGCACTTTCAGTTCTTACCAGGCCAGAATATTCATTTTTAAAATCCTTCATCTTGTCTTGCTGATCATTTTAGCTGATTACACTCTTTATTGACATAATTTTTTCATATAAAATTAGTGAAACCATCATTAATAGGCATTAACTCCTGAGAGAAGTCGACTGAAAATTTCGGTCAATTCACAGATTTTGTCTAGCTGATCCTTTTTGCTACAGTTTCTATCTATTGTACTATTCAACTTTTTAACGAAAAGAAAAAGAAATTGATAAAAATTAGCCTTTTGAGTTAGAACTTCTATAAGGAATAGACTGAAAATTTCGGCCATGTTGATCTATTTGTAGATCTCGTCTCGTTGGTCATTTTTGCCACTTTTCATGTTTCTCTTTATCTATATGTCTATCATAGATTTTTTAAGTAATTAGCAAAAATCTGCAAACTTTGTTTGAAATGATTATTTCATAGGCAACAACTCCAAAATGAGAAATACTTATCATTTCAACAAGTCAAGTTTGCTCTAACAGCATTAGTTTTTGAGATACCAAGTCAAAAAATACATTTTTACTCTTAGCAACAACGGTCATGTTTGTTGACGAATGAAAATCTGGGATAGAGTAAAGTAAAACATAAACTAGGTACTTTTTGTACTTATGTTGTACTGTTACACCACTGTCCCAGGTTAGAGGGAGGGTTGGGATCCCGCTAACATGTTTAACCCCGCCACATTCTGTATGTATGTGCCTGTCCCAAGTCAGGAGCCCGTTATTCAGTGGTTGTCGTTTGTTTATGTGTTACATATTTGTTATTTGTTCATTTTTTGTACATAAATTAGGCCGTTAGTTTTCTCGTTTAAATTGTTTTACATTGTCATTTCGGGGCCTTTTATAGCTGACTGTGCGGTATGGGCTTTGCTCATTGTTGAAGGCTGTACGGTGACCTATAGCTGTTAATTTCTGTGTCATTTGGTCTCTTGTGGAGAGTTGTCTCATTGGCAATCATACCACATCTTCTTTTTTATAGGTACCCAAAGGAATTGTCACACTGAACTTTTACCAAATCTACTCAGTGGTTCCAGAGAAGTTTTTTTAAAGAGTTTATGCCGCCAACAGACAATGGACCCCAAGTGATTGAAATAACTCACTTGTCCCTTTTAGTCCAGATCAGGTAATAAATGGATATGTTGGATAAATGTGAATGCACTATTCAAATGTATACATATATATAAATTGAATTTTCAGGGAGTTTGTTGTTGATTTTAAGATTTTTTGTAGTATTGATTTATGGTGTCGTTTCAATGTGTACTGATTGATATTTTGTCTGGTAACATGATTTATTTATTAGTTCTTATTGGTTTTGAACTAGTTTTCAGTAATCATGGTAATAGTGAATACTAGTGTTTTTGTTTGTAATTGTTTTAGTGCTTTGTATCGATTTGATGAGTAAAGCCCTTTTCAACCGATTTTTTGTTTGAAATTATGTTGTCCCAGGTAAGGGGAGGTTGGGAACCTTCAAACACTTTTAACCCCACCACATTTTGTATATGCCTGTCTTATTAAAAGACTGTCATTTGTGTATATCATACATGTTTTTCATTATTGTTTTGTACATAAATCAGGCCATTGGTTTTTTCATATGAATAGTTCTACATGTTGTCATGTCAAGAAACCTTTTTCACATCATACTTGTATATCTTCATTTCATCATTCTTGAGTCTTTGATGGATAGGGGTATCCTTTGCAATGACATCACCTCTCCTATATTTTATATCATGGTGTCTACTTCAGATGCTAGGGGCCTTGGTCTAAGTAGTTGAACTACTGTATCACTAGCCTGTCAACACTGAGGTTGTGAGTTCAATTCCTGCACGTGGCAGGTGCAGGACTCCAATCTTAATTGACTAGAAGTGTCAGTTTTCCTACCAAAGGTTGGTGGTTCTCTCCAGGCACTCAGCTTCCTACACCAATCAAACTGACCGCCATGAAAGTGGCGTTCAACACCAATCATTCAATAAATCAATCTTCAGATGCTCATTGTTTAAACCATTCCATGACCCTATGGTGTTATAGTTTTCACACACATAGCTCATCAAAAACTGTCTCTTTTTGCTCCTTGTTTTTCCCCCTTTACTGTGGATTCAATATTATTCGTGGGATACTGATTTACGTGTATTTTGTAGGTACAGGTAAACCACAAATCTAAATATTCAACAAAGTTCACTTTTTCTATAGGCTTGTATTCAAGTTTTGGAAAAACCATAAAATCAGATATCCACGGAAATGCAAAATTTCCTCAATCCACCAAAAATTGATATCAACAAAAATAAATGAATCCACAGTAATTCACAATGAGTAGAATATTTATTGTATACTCCATATTAAGCAAAGTCCATTGTATCAAGTTGGTATTTAGAAACTCTATATTTAAAATATTTTCACAGCCAACACAAGTTCAGATACTTTATTAACAATTAACTTTACACTTAATACAAGCATCAACAGAATTACACAGGACAAACAATTTACATAAATTATTCTATTGGTACAATTTGTTTAACATACCTATATGTTATGTTCTTATTTCAGGATTTCTGTTTAATATGTTTAACAGATCCCTCTTTGTGCTATTCTTATTTCAGGATTTCTGTTTAATATGTTTAACAGATCCCTCTTTGTGCTATTCTTATTTCAGGATTTCTGTTTAATATGATTAACAGATCCCTCTTTGTGCTATTCTTATTTCAGGATTTCCATTTAACAGATCCCTATTTGTGCTGTTCTAATTCTAGGATTTTCATTTAACAGATCCCTAATTGTGCTGTTCTAATTTTAGGATTTCCATACTTATTATTATAAAGCATTTGAATTTATATTGTTCAATGTTTGCAGTTGAGCCATTACCATGAAAATAGTGAAAATACAACTGCTTCAAAAACTAAACACAAACATTCAAAAAGCGTCAGCAATTAAACTACAGTTTAATCAACCTGTTTCAAATCAAGTTTGGTGGTGATCTTTCATAGTTAAAATCGACAAATGTGAATGATTTACTCTGTACCTCTGTATATTGGAAAGTTTTTGAATCTTTGTGTCCAAATCACCTTAGTTTACTAAACACAGCGCAAGTGAGAATGACTTTCATAACTGAATTGTTCTGTCTATACTGTAGTCCGGACAAAACATTATTTATTATAAATAACATTTCTAACCTAAAAAATATGTTGTTTTTAACAATACAAAATAATTCAAAATTTAAATATTAAATAACTTTGGCTTCTTATGTTGTTTTCATTTTTGAAAGCCTTATTTTTATTTCCCCTTTCTGATACATTTTTTTACTGCATTCTGTGCAATATATATCTTGGAATTATTACTTCAACACAAAAATGTGATATTTTAAAAATGCTTTGTATTGAACATTTGTAACTATATCTAAAACAAAGAATAAGTATTTGATTCCCACAATGCATTGTTACCCCACAATCACTGTAGCTGAAAATATAGCTAAAATAGGTAAAGGCTGAAAACTCACTATGCAAAGTGAATTTGATTACTTCATCAATCCATGTTGGGTTCAAAATAGAGCTGGTAGGAGAAATCGATTTTTTTCTTAATTTACATGTATTATAAACACTGATAAAATTACTACATTCTTATTGTTATAAACCCGTATCATTAGCAAATACTAGATGCCAGTATTTCTAGTACTTTACTAAACATTGTGAGAAGATATGACTAAATAATCTAATTCTAAACAAAAATGAAATTTAATGCAAATGAAATTTAATTATCCTGCCACCAAAATAAAATATTAATGGACTTTAAGTGCCAATCTGCCTAAGAATCAGGCAGTGGTGAAAATCGACAAACAATTAAACGCTCAGCTTTGCATTAATTTAAGTTCAGAATGTATAATCATGATAATGGTACATGAATATAACATTTGTTTCATTTCCCTGTTTTGGTAATTCAAGATATAATTTGGTTGAAATGCACTAGAAATTAACATTTATTGGGAGATAACCCCGTAATTTGCTATCATTCTAACCAAAATTTGTCTAGATCTTTTCGAATTACCAGACATCATGGACATGGAGAAACAAAAAACCTACCATTTCTAACTCAGGATGAGGGTACCTTCAAAATAGGGTGGTTAGGTCTGTGGGTATTTTTCGCCCATGTTTTGAAATTTTTCTTAATTGGCGGATTCTTACAAAGACTGGCACTTAATACATGTAGTACTCATTTTATCATCAGTGATAAGTGTCTTAATCCAATAAACTGTAAATTACATCTGCATGTTAATAGAAATAAGATTCATGAATATATCACTTATGAATTTCTTAAAGAAAAAAAATAATGCTTTTATCAATAAAATTTTGCAAGCCAAATTCCGTGTCGGAGAGGAACAAAAGCTAGCTATATTTCAAATAACTGTTAAAAGTTCAAAAAAGATATTAATTGCATAAAGTTTCAATGACAGAAAAATTCAACAAAGCATTAACATCATTTATCTAGTTCCCCCTCTTCCTCCACGTCCACCACCCCTCCCACCTCTGCCTCTTGCACTACCACTACGTCCTTCTTGATCATAACCACCTCCTCCTCTGTATCCTCCTCCACCTCTTCCTTGATGACCACCACCTCCCTGGTATCCACCTCCTCCTCCTTGATAGCCACCGCCTCCTCCTCCTCCTTGATAACCACCACCTCCTCCTCCCTGATAGCCACCACCTCCACCTCCTTGGTATCCTCCTCCTCCTTGACCACCACCTCCTCCCTGATTCCACTGACCAGAGAACTGTTGACTTTGACTATCTCCCCAACCACCTTGTACTTTACCTCCACGCCCACCTCCTCCTCGGTCACCGCGTCCTCGGTCACCACGTCCTCTGCCACTTTGTGGCCTTTGCTGTTGTGGCTGATCAACTCTTTTCATAAATGATGGCATTTCAGGAGGTGGAGGCTCCAGCTCCCATGCTCTTCCTCCTCTATCTGGGACCTTTGGAATACGAACTTTATTTATTGCACATCTAGTTTTATCTCTTGCTTCACCACTGCTTGTTTTCTCTAATCTAGTCAAATCATCCCGTGCTGCAAGTATTTGTGCAACACTTATAGAATTTTTCCCCATTAGCAACTTTCTAATTGGCTGGTAGACTGCTGCAATGTCGTTTTGTTTTTTCTTTGCATTATCAGCCCACATGAACGATTGTATAGTAACGTCTAGTCTTTTAAGTAACATTTCTCGTCGTGTCTGATATTCTAGCGTTAAACTATCATTTATTTTTAAGATTTGCTCCCACTGCATATCAGAAAGGCGGGCCTTTAATAAAGGTTGACCCACCTGCATAGGATGTTTTGTTAGTATTTCTTTTATCTTATTTTCTACCTTGCTAAATAACTGAAAAGATGTTACATTTGCAGGTGGTTTAGGAAAGTTTAATCCCATCAACATAAATTTTAAATGCTTAGCAACATCACTTTCTTTCATTTCTTCTGGTTTATTCTGATCTGCTGCTTTGAGAAGACCAGGTTTTTTAACAGCTAATACTCTGATGGTAGCTAGTTCAGAGGTTAAATAATCCAACAGCTGTAGTTTGTTTTCCTTAGAATTTAATCTCTCTGTAACTGGGCCTCCTTCGTATAAATGATTGTAAGGACAATTCAATTCTCGGAGAAAGCCACTAAGCTCCATGACAAACTCTGCCGAATCATCTGCACTAGTTATTGGATTAACATGTTCTTCTAGTCCAGTGAAGGATTTTATTTGATCTGTGAGCCAAGTTACTAATTCAGTAAATTGTTGTTGACATGGCCCATTCTCTATAAAAGTGTTAATAACTCCATCATCTAGGGCAGGTCCACTATACCCTAAATCTTCAAGTGAATCTAAAATATCGTTTTCCATTGTAGCAGAAATAGAAAGGGGTGTTGATGATATTTGCTTGTCTAGATAAGGATGTCTATTGATGAAACTAGGTACAGTATATGGCAGTCACACACTGAAATAAAAAGTTATACTATTGTTGATCATAAGATATTAAACATGTTAAAGGGGGGCCGTTTCTTGATTACACATGTACATGTCTTATGATATCCTTTTACAAGTTAGAGTGCTTTTTATTGGTCTTCTTTTAAAAGATCAAATTGCCTCACAGGCATATGACAGATACTACTCATGCTTATTCATGCTTAGCACTTAGAACTGTACCTGTGTGTTTAATGACCTTTAGTCTTTCCAAAGGTTGCAAGAAAAATGACAGTTGCTTTTAAATTCAAAATACTTTTTTGATTGTTTACTTAGACAAATTCACTCTTATAAATCAAGAAAAACTGTATGGTCATGATGGTAGTATTAAAAACAAAAAAAAATGTAATTAATATTGACCTTGGTTCTTGTGATGGAACCTTCCTATTTTTTCCTTTTTTCGTCTTTTAAAAATCATAAATCTACATGATGATGATGATTATATTCTATCTTTTGTTATTTCACATGTTTTTATTTACCAAAAATTCAATTGTATGACAACAGCTTCTAGTCAATATATCACAACACTGCAACAACCAAATCTACTTTTAATATTTTAAAACATTTTTGTATCCTATTCATTCAAACTCACACATTAATTAATTGAGGAAAACAACTTACCTTTTCCCTTTTTGTTTGTGTTTATCTGCTATCCATTTTTGCTTCATTTTCCATCAAGTCCATTTCCAATGATAGAAATAAATGTAGATGAATTTTATAGTCAACTTGCGGTAACGGCCATTGAACTTCAAAAGTTCTAACAGAATTGATAATGATTGAACAGTCTGGATTCTAGGTTATATATGTAAAGTTTTTTTCAAAATCCCAGAAAAATACATATAATAAGGCTATTCTTGTTCAAACTTCATATTTTTCTTGTTTTGCTGTTGTCATACAATTAAACTGGTGTAAGTAAAATACTATTATGATGATTATAAAAAATCATCATCATAATGTTACAACTGTAAATAACCCTAAGTCAACGGTGTCCTAGACATGCTAGACAAGTTAACATATTCATACCCATTCCTTGCAATAGAACAGTCCCATTGGGATTTCTTTCAATGTTTTTGTGCCATATAACTACTGTGATACTATGATGAAGACACTCAAACAACACTTTAATTCTAAGATTTTATATTACTTATCATTTGCTTATACATCATATCTCTACCACCATAGTTATTTACCTGTTCAAGTAAAACTAAATAAAATCCATGTGTATAATGCATTCCCTAGCTGTTGAACCATAGCTTATATGGTCCTTATGATCTTTTTTGACAATTCGTGCATCTACATGTACATGTTTGTCAGCAAATTGTTAAAAATTATCATAAGGATCATAACAGCCATGGTTCCGCAGCTAGTATTACCAATGATTGACAGCAGAGCACAGCCTACAGTGTATATCAAGTCAGGAATATGACAGTTGTTTTCCATTGGTTTGAGCTTTTGATTTTTCCATTTGATAAGGGACTTTACGATTTGAATTTTCCTTGGAGTTTGGTATTTTTGTTATTTACTTCTTTTTTTTTTTTTTAAACAGAGGAAATTTTAATTGAAACAAATGGTTTTTCACAAAATAGTTCACCCATTTGTCAAAAATGTTTGTTTTTTTTCTGATTATCTAGATTATCAAAAAGAATAATGACAATACACTAGTTATACCAATGTCTACAGATTTTTCTCTCTTTCATTGTTAACACCAATTCATAAACAAAAATAAGATGATAGATATTCAGTAATTAATGTCTTCAACATAAATGGATATTTGTCAAGTAAATAAACAGGGGAAGGATTCTATATATATATTGACCTTATTACTATTTGTCCACCATTACTGGACATCATAGCCATTCTCGTAAACTTTGAAGTTATAAGAGAGATTTTCAGACGCCAAAAAGAAAACTGATGGATGTATGACCTCAATAGTAGCAAATTCTAGGTTCATGTGTCACATATTCCCAAACATCAATAAGGTCCATTTCCATGTCCCTTAAGCATGTGATAAAAGAGAGGCCAAAGATACCAAAGACATTCAAACTCATAAGTCGAAAATAAACTGACAATGCCATGACTAAAAAGAAAAAGACCAAAAAACAGTACACAACATAGAAAACTAAAGCTTGAGCAACACAAACCCCCACCAGAAACCAGGGATAATCTGAGGTGTTCCGGAAGGAGTAAGAAAATCCTGCTCCACATGTGGCACCCATCATGTTGCTCATGCAAGTACAAATAATTTATGCCAAGCAAAAGGCTATGTAGTATGTTCATGTAATGTCTTGTGTCTAAAAAAAATTGATAGGTACTTCTACTTCTACCATATAGTGACCGCCTTCAACAAATTGAAGATTGTCACAGGACATTGTCGCAGCTGGATACGCCCGCAGAGGTCCAACCCTGAACAGTTGGGGCAAAAATGGACACAATATTCAAGCTTGATACAGGTCTGAATTTGGATTGTAATTAAATATTTGATATATTATAGGTTTCTGAATAAATGTAGTCAAAGAACTTAATTGGTTATATGAAAGATTTCTTGCTGTTGTGCAATACACTGTGCTGTTGCGTAATACTTAGTAAATCTGTTGTCAGACAATAAACAAATAAAATCTTATAACCAGTCAGGGGTGCTACTTAAACAAGTGATTTCATCATCACTTATTTCAGTGATTTGATAAATTCAGTTATCACCTATTTAAGTGATTTTAGTGTTTTCTTTGATCTTCAAATGCTAATTTCATTGATTTTCCATATTTTCACAATCTTTTCTATAATTTTCCTACATAAATCAATTATCCCTTTTTCTTTGTATATTAATTTCACCAGTGCGCTTGGGCAGTAAGTTAGTGCGCTAAAGCTTTTAAAAGTACCCTTGGGAATTTTTCTGTAATCAAAAATTCATTAACTACTCTTACTATCAGACAAAGATCAACAATATTAGGTAACCTGATTGGTTTTCTTTAGAGTTAGAATGATCTACTTCAAGGTTATGACCTGATCTACAAACTATTCCAGTTTTTGCATATTTTAAAAAAACTGTAAAAGTGTCAGGCTTATCAAGCAAAAGACAATTTCTGCATATACATAGTTGTTTTTTCAATGGAATTGTTGTCTTTTTACCAATAAAAAAATCAAGCTTGTGGGAAAAATATCAAGAAAATGTTATAAACACTTATTAAAGTGATTACATTTTAACTTCTAAAATTACTTGTTTCAGTGATTTTAAAAAGTCTGTGAGAAAATTTTTAATATTTCACAGCCAAAATCACTCGAGGGAGTGATTCTGAAATCACTTGTTTAAGTAGTACCCCTGACTGATAACTCGGAAACATAAAATCGAAAATTTATTAAAATCAAAAGGGAGCTTACAAAAATAGATATAAACAATTTACCAAAGTTTCATAAAAAATGCTAAAGGCATTTCTGAGTTATTGTCCGAAAAACTGGAAAATCACCCTTTTTGTAATCTATAAAACCCCATAAATCGGAAATGTATAGTCTGAAATTTATAAAAATCAAAAGGGAGCTAATGTCAATAGAAATAAACAATTCACCAAAGTTTCTTGCAAATTGGTGAAATTGTTTTTGAGTTATTGTCTGAAAACTGGAAAATACCCCCTTTTTTAATGAATAAAACCCCAAAACTCGGAAATGGTAAATCTTAAATTTATAAAAAAAATGAAAGGGAGCTCACGTCAATAGATATGAACAATTCACAAAAGTTTCTTACAAATTGGTGAAATTTTTGTTTGAGTTATTGTCTGAAAAACTGGAAAATCCCCCCTTTTTTAATGAATAAAACCCCAATACTCGGAAACGGTAAATCTTAAATTTATAAAAAACGAAAAGGAGTTCACATCAATAGATATGAACAATTTACAAAAGTTTCATGCAAATTGGTGAAATTTTTTTTGAGTTATTATCCGAAAACTGGAAAATCACCCCTTTTTTAATGAATAAAACCCCAAAAGGTCCGAGTACACAGTTATTTCGTAGTGCATTTCTTTTAGACAATAAATGAAAATTAAAAAAATCCCACCTGCGCTTTCTCAATAATATTTTTACAGTGTGTTGTACTATTTTTGGGACAAATTATATCAAAATTATAGAAAACTTCATCGGCTCTAACTCAAAATATGGACAATTTTATGTTAAGGGGGTCTTCAAATCTTTTGACAGCTTCCGAAGTGCTAATTTTTAACATTTTTCAGCTGGACCAAATCACTACTTTACTTTAAAATTCATGACCCAAATTTTTTTACAGTGTCATTTCACCCCCCTACTTGCTATTTGAGTCATAAAACATGGAGAAATAAATTTGGAAGGGGTATAAAAAAAAATGGCAAGTAACACACTGTCAACACTAGGGACTACATTTGTGGACAACGAAAATCAAAGGACGATAACTGTGTACTCGGACCTAATAGGGTAGAAAAAGTTGACCAATCTTAATGAAACTTGGTATGACCAAAGCTTAATAAATTATAAGACTGCCTACAAAGTTTCATGGCAATAGGACATATATTATAGACAATATGACTAATTCTATATTCAACTTTGCGTGTTAAATGTAGACGTTAAAATTGAAAAATTTCAACTATCAACATTTGGGGCTTAAAAAATTTAAATATTGCAAAAAAATACTTTTGAAATGCCTTAATATATAAAATATTATGTATTAAAAGCAATTGAGTACTCATTTGATTTATCAGACTTATCATAATTATAAAAAAGTCAAATTTATATGAGCCTGTGCCTAAAAATGGAGGTTTTCCAATGAAGGGGGGCCTTACATGAAGATGTAATATTTTCCAGCAATTTTAAATTTGTAAAGCTTTTTGGTTATAAATAATCCTTACATATATATTTAATGTACTTTAAATGGAAAGAAAACTCACAAATAACATATCATATTAGTTTAAAAGGGTCTTAGGCCAAGTAAGACTGATTATAATTTAGGGTCAATTTAGGCCGTAGCACATATTTACATTTCAAAATGCATATTGAAGCTATAGGAAATAAAAATTTGTGTCTTTTCTATCATTTCTATACTCAGGTGACATGATACAATAAATCTGAGCACAAAAAGACTCTTGCATTCAACTTTTTTTGCTGACAGTATGGTCTGATACAAAGATTTTTCACTTTTTAGTGAAAAACATGCATGCAATTTTAGTCGCAACAAGCTTATATTTGAACCACTTGCTATCCTACAGAAGAAAAGAAAGATATTATGTGACATGAAACAGGTACAAAAGACATTGTTAAGTGCTTTTTATACAAATTTAGTGAGGTCTTTATTATGGACTTCAACTTTTATGTTCCAAGCTCCTCACATTTAACTTGATCCAAACAGGGCGTTAGACGAGGGTCATATATACAACACATTTTGTACATATTGTCTGAGATAATCTTCTTTTCTGTAGATTCAGAGTTCACAAATGAGTAATACAACTGGATTGAAGCATAGAAACACAAATATTGACACATAAAAACCTGTCAGATAGAAAGTCAGAATGCCACTTATGCATCAAAATTGAAAAAGCTATGAAATGCTTATTTTGACCATAATATGCCCAAATTGGTCATTTTTGCAGAAATTCTATCAAATAAAAGTTTAAATCCTTTAGTTTTATGCTATTTGACAAATTGACATCATCAAATCATTCAGGGAAGTTGCCAAAGTACAGATTCTATATTTCCTGATTTCACCTCTTAGGTCCGAGTACACAGTTATTTCGTAGTGCATTTCTTTTAGACAATAAATGAAAATTAAAAAAATCCCACCTGCGCTTTCTCAATAATATTTTTACAGTGTGTTGTACTATTTTTGGGACAAATTATATCAAAATTATAGAAAACTTCATCGGCTCTAACTCAAAATATGGACAATTTTATGTTAAGGGGGTCTTCAAATCTTTTGACAGCTTCCGAAGTGCTAATTTTTAACATTTTTCAGCTGGACCAAATCACTACTTTACTTTAAAATTCATGACCCAAATTTTTTTACAGTGTCATTTCACCCCCCTACTTGCTATTTGAGTCATAAAACATGGAGAAATAAATTTGGAAGGGGTATAAAAAAAAATGGCAAGTAACACACTGTCAACACTAGGGACTACATTTGTGGACAACGAAAATCAAAGGACGATAACTGTGTACTCGGACCAAAACTCAGAAATGGTAAATCTGAAATTTATAAAAAACGAAAGGGAGCTCATGTCAATAGATATAAACAATTCAGCAAAGTTTCATGCATATTGGTTAAAGCGTTTTTGAATTAATGTCAGTCATGTTGACGACGGACGGACGGACAGACGGTCAACGGTATACCATAATTCGTCCCCGTAAACAAGCGTATAAAATTTGAAAAATGCAATGTATTTTTCGTTTGATGTGATAGTTGAGATAATATTGATGCTTTAAAATTGAAGATTTGAAAGAGTCTACTGATGTGCAATTTATAATGTTATCAGGTAGTTTGTTCCAGTCGGTAATAAACGTTATACACTTTTGGTATTTAGCTGAATTTTGTCTCCGAATGACCTTAGATCTGTCTCCGAATAATCTTCTGACGTCAAGCAACAATCACTTTTTAATTATGACGTCAAACTTTTTAAATTGTGATGTCAAATTTTACAGGAACTTGTATGACTTTAAGTAATGGCGGAAAAATTTGCCTACAAGTGTAAATACATCTTGGAAAAAAGGATTCTTTTCTGTACTATTGTTTTGCAGAATGGAATTTGGAAGCTGTTCGAATTTGAATGTCTTGTTTGTCTTTTTTGTGGAATTAATTTATTATTTTTAGGTATTGCAACCTTTTTGAGTTCTACTTTGTATAGCATTACCAATCTTGAATCTTTTCTTCTGTCAGACAGGCTGCGCCATTCAAAGTGTTGTAACATGTTACCAACGCTTGAGGTGTTTCATAATAAACTAGGTTTAATCAGAAATACATTTCTTATGATCAGTCTGAGGCAAATAAAGGGTCTGGTTCATCCATAAATTGTTTTGTTTGTTGTATTTTTTATTTTTTTTTGGTGTGTGATAAATTATTTTTGCTGAGTTGCTAGGATTCGAAAATAATGGAAATGATAATTTCTTGAGTATACAACCGAAAACCATGACTATCATGAACTCAAAATCTCTTTCATTGTCATTTGGAAGAATGACATGTTCAAATTAACAGCTAAAATGTAATATTTTACCCCATTCTAGACATGCCACACGCACGTTTTCGCAGACAATGGACAATGAATAGAAAATGCTAGAAATGATCCGCACAGAATATGCTAAAAGTCGGCAGTGCTCATAGACATAGTCACTTTGTATGACAGTATATATTTCTAATAATAAAATAACACAAAAAATGAATGCCCGTACAATATATTTTGCATCAGCAAAAGTCGAATACAGGCGATATTTATAAAAAAAAAACCAAACAACTCACATCAAACTTCTAAATTTGTGTCCGTTTCTTGTAGTTGTCAATTTAGCATTTTTTTCGGAACGTCTTTAGTGTTTACCTTTCACCAACCAACACAATTCAACAATGCCGGAAAAGTCAAGTTTTGAACTGGTATATTCAGTCGAAGCAGATGGAAATATACCAGTATCAAAATATAGATCTAATAAAACTGGTCTCACTATCTTCATAGCTGATGTTGGAGGTCCTCTTGTCAATGGATACTTCTGTCTTGGTAAGGGTATACTGAACAGCTGCATGGTATTTTGATGATGTTGATGATGATAAATTATGGCTGTGTTTGGATATACGCCAGAGGTGGCCTATGGTTATCCATAGGTACCTTTGGTTTGATATTCTATATATCAAAATATCAAACCATTGGTACCTAAAGATACCCATGGGTAACCATAGGCTGCCTTAGGCGTATATCCAAACACAGCCATAGTTATCCCCGGCTTAGTATATTTCTAGGATTTTGATTGGTTAACGCACGTCGTTACAAAACCCATAGCCCCTGGGTGTTGCTAACCCGTATACCCGGACGTTGCTACCCATTACAACGGGGAACATCACACACGTTTTCCTTAGTTCCAGGGTTGTTCCTTGTGAAATATCAAATTCTGTAGATTATCCATGATGTCTGTAATTAAATATTTAATCTAACTATTTTATCTTATTATGTCGATCATTTGCACTCATTTTAGTAAATGCATCACTTGGCTGCAACATTGTCAGTGAATGGGACTACTGACCTTGCTATCCAAATGACCCACGTTGACATCACACCTTCTATGATGTAACTCTCACAACATTGAGCGCCAAATTCGACCAATTCCCGTTTCTCTGTCTCTGGATTAAAAACGTCTTATATTTGACTACCTGTAGGGTTCTACCAAAGGTAGTACCCTACACCCCGTTAAAAATATGTCAAATTCCCAAATTTCGATAAAAGATTTTTAAAAAATGAAAAAAACGTTGCTTTCACGTTACATTTTGTGGTTGAATTTCTCTAAAAATTGCAAGATTTGGACTAAGACCGGGGATAAATTCGTTATCTACGTTCATATCCGTAGATATGGATATTTTAACACCCTTCAGTACCCTGTACACGCTTCGGCTTTGCTTCAGGGTGTACTTGGATACTTCAGGGTGTTAAAATATCCATATCTACGGATATGAACGTAGATAACTTATAGTATCTCTATCCACTGTGTATTGCTTTTGATTTTACCCATTAAACTGTTCATTTACAAAAGAATTCAAATATTTAGAAGAGTTCCATATTCTGCTAGATGTACCCTGTCGTGCCTTCAATACATTGTATATGAAGGTTTCTTATTGTCGAGCGTCTAGTTGTCCCCCGAGCAACGCTTTGCAGGGGAAATAGAAATGCTGGGTGTCCCTCCGTCCCTATGTCCGGTTTTGTTAGTGGTCTCACATGTACAATTTTTGCCAGATTTTTATAAAGCTTATATCATAGATTTATATCAGCAATGTCTTGGACGAGTTTGAAAATCAGTGCAGATCAACTATTTTTAAAAGAATTATGCCCCTTGGAATATTAATTTTATGGAAAATTGCATTGTAAGCGCTCTCATGTGTACAGTTCTTGCCAGATTTTTATGAAACTTATATTGTAGGTTAATTTATATCAGCAATGTCTTGGACAAGTTTGAAAATCAGTGCTGATCAACTATTTAAAGAGTTATGCCCCTTAGAAATATAATTATATGGAAATTTGCATTGTAAGTTCTCTCACATGTACAATTTTTCCCTGATTTTTATCAAATTCTTATCAAAGGTATTTAACAGCAATGTCTCAGAAAATTGTGAAAATAAGTGCAGATCAAATATTTTTAATGAATTTCCCTTGGAAATATTAAATATATCATGAATTGCTCTCGTCTTCAACTTTCTAGTAAGATGATTTTAAAATGTTTTAAAGAACAAAAAAATTTTTTTTTTAGTTATTGCCCTTGGACATGTTGGACAGAACAGAGATAAAATTAAAATATGTGCAATGCGGGGGACATTGGAACTCTGTTCTTTTATCATGTTTATTTCTAGTTAAGAAAGTCGAGTTGAGAGTTTCAAATGTCAATTTCCAAGTTATTTAAGTCAGGTTGCAAGTTTAAAATGTCGAGTTAGAAGTGAAAAAAAGTAGAGTTGCTAGTTAAGAAAGTGGAGTTGCCCGATGATTAACAAAGTGGAGTTGGGTGTTAAGAAAGTGGAGTTGTGAGTTAAGAAAGTTGTGTTGCGTGTTTAGAAAGTCAAGTTGCAAGTTAAGAAAGTCGATTTGTGAGTTATCAAAGTCGATCTGCCAGTTATAAAAGTTGTGTTGCGAATTACAAAAGTCAAGTTGCGAGGAGTCAAGTTGCGAGTTACAAAAGTTGAGTTGAGAGCTAAAGAAAGTTGAGTTTTTATTTAAAAAAAGTCTAGTTATGTGTTAAGAAAGTCAGGTTGAGAGTTAAAAAAGTTGAGTTGTAAGTTGAAAAAGTCGAGTTGTGAGTTTTAAAAGTCATGTTATGAGTTAAAAAGTCAAGTTGCCAGTTACAACAGTTGAGTTGTGATTAAAAAAAGTTTAGTTACAAGTTTCAAAAGTAGTTTTGCTACATGTAGCTAAAAAATTTGAGTTGTGAGTTAAGAAAGTTTATTTTTGAGTAACAAACGTGACCGTATTTCTATTCCCTAGTCACATTTGGACAACTGGATATACCATATATATATATTACAAGGATATCAACAAAGAAAACTCTGAATAGGTTGTTGACTTAGGACAAACCCATTAACATGATTAACCTGTGGAAGGATTTAACTATTTATTTTTTAATTAGCTTGTATTGTATATTCAGAAATTATTGCAAGGTTTTTATTAATGTAAATAATGCGACTCCATGAGTATCGCAATAATAACTCGCATTCTGAAATCTGATACACATATCTGTATGCAGATGTTTCTGAAATCGCAATAATTAATCTCGCATTTTTGTCAATTCCTCAAAAATTGCAATAATAAATGCATGCAATAATTTCTGAATTTACAGTAACTTTGACCATGTAAACAGTCAAGTTAGACTTTTCTCAATTTGTGACGGTCATCATGAACATATGAATATTGCAACTAGATACTCAGGCAGAATAATTTCAACCAGAGAAAACCTCTTATTCTTCAGATTTTTTTTTCATTACGTTTTGATGTTGTCCTTTTTTTTTACTTTTTACACTCAATTTCAGCCACAGAAGCTCATGATGATGATGGTCTGCCTCACACATTAGAACATCTTATTTTCTTAGGAAGTGAAGAATATCCTTATAAGGTAATGTTATAAATAAAGGCTTCGTAATTTGTTTTAAAGTACATGTTCTTACAGAAAATCTTTTATAATAAAAATTGCCAATTACTCAAACTTAAGATATTGTTGAGGTAATTTGAATGATGCCAATACTATATGAATTTGTAATTTTTACCTGTTTTGAAAATTGTATATTTCATAACAATTTTTTATTTCATTTTTTCATATATGTGTGTTTGTTTGATATTTTGTAATTGTTTGTTATATTTCATTGTATTTCATGAGGGCCTCAGGGAAGATTAGTTTTATAGCTAACTGTGTAACCCTCTTTAAATAAAGAATTATTATTATTATTATTATTAATTAGACAACTATCCACCAAAGTTTAAATGAAGTTATACATGTAGATCATATATGTCATATAACTAATTCAAAAATTTAGACACATACACATTAGATCATACAATGTACACATGATGTATCATGTATATGTCAGATAACAAATTCAAAAATTTCTCAACCACGGTAGTCTCCTGTAATTTTGAATGTTACAGTAGAAAGCCCAAATAACTACATTTTTGTAACTGGATAAATTGGATATCAGTGAGGGTAACATGCAATTTGTCTGTTTAGTAAGACTAAAATCATGAAAATGGTCACTAGAAAAAAAAATGTTAGATAGTTCAATAGGGTAACTGATAACCTTGTTTATGTAAATATTGCTCAATGAAAATTATTATTATACATATACTTCGTAGACTCAATCACTGGTCTACAAGCCCTCGGCTTTTGACAATATATTAATCATTTTACTGTTAAACAGGCCTGTGGGTCTTCAACACCACTATCCTTGATTTTATATGAATATATGTGACAGCCAAAAAAACTTAAAATTGATTAGCATTCTAAACAAACTTTTTATGGCTTATAAATTTCCAGGAACTGATATAATGAATAAAGGAGATATGGAAGTAAACATCAGTGAAACAGCAACCCAACAATACAATAAACCAGAAAACATTGGAAATTCTTCTAGAAATTTTAGTATTTCGTGTATTTCTACAAGTTTTATAAAATTAATTGCATGGTGCACATTTTCAATTTACTTTCTACTTCTTAACTATCAAGTATTATCATTAGTACTTAGTGAGTACTGAAGTACATGTTAGACAACAGTTGTTTAGACTCAGATTTCCATGCCTGGACTAGTAGAGGTAATCTGTTTGAGCATGACAAATGCCTGCAGATAGATAAACTTTATCCTGTTTTTGTTGACAATATATTGTACCCAATTACTAACAGCAAGTCCCTGTACAAATCTAAGATTGCACACAGTTGTGTTATAGTTTTGTGATCTATGCAAGCCTCTGTTACTACCTTCTCCTACAGATTAATTTACACAAGTCACAATTTGGCTAAAAATCCCTTTTATTGGTCTTACCTTACTGATTGTGAAAGAGGGAATGTGAAACCTTTAACAGAGAAAAATAAAATTTTGATTATATACTACAGTCAAATTGATGATTAATTTATATATACTTGTAAATGTACATGTTTGTATTTCTATCTCATTAACAGTGTAAATAAATAATAGAATTAATTTTTTGTATTTTAGTTCTCTGCAAAGAGTAATTGTTTGCTTTGTTCAGTTTTGTGTAATCTATACCTGAGAAGCATGTATTCTAATATGTTTACACTAACACATCTGGTCCTCAGCACAGATTGATATTGTAGCAGAGGCTCAGCATAGTTCAGTGGACATTTGATCCAGTGGGCAATTGTTAATCACGAATTTGAACAAAATTTAGCTGGTAAAGCAATAATTAAATACTATTAACTAAATATTCTAAAAAAAGTTATCGGAGATATATATTCGGTCCAGTAAAATCTGATTTAATACTGGTCTGAATAGCATTTTACTAGTGTTGACTGACTTCTTGAGCTCTTAACATCATGATATTGTTTAAGACCTTGAAGCCCACTAATGCATGTATTATTTTTCATGTGTTATATACAGGGTGTACTTGACTTACTAGCCAACAGATGTTTAGCTTCAGGAACCAATGCCTGGACAGATACAGACCATACTTGTTATACCATGACCAATGCTGGTAGTGAAGGTTTTCTCAAACTCTTGCCAGTCTACGTGGAACATGTTTTGTATCCAACACTTACGGTATGCCATACATTTTTTAGAAAAAAGCTTTTTAAGCATATTATATTCCATAATTGCAAATCATTCTGAAAATCATGAGGGGTAAATTAAAGGAATGGTTGGACTAGAAACATAATTTAAAAACAAATTGTCCAATGGGTAAGAAATTTTTATTTGTTAGTGCCAGTGGTTTATAGAAAAAAAATCATTGATTCAAATTGAGATAGTCATGCCGTTGTTAAATGTTGGATTATTTGGCTCCTTCACAAGGAAAGAGTAGCATATTGTACCCTTCTTGTCTCATTTATTAAGGACCTTGTTCTGACACTGATGGTTCTCCAGTTAAAGGAGGCATCTACTGAAAGACAATACAATACAATGTGCTGTAGAAAATAAGCTTTTTTTATACTGGAAATTCAGAGATTATTGCGAGGTTTTTATTAATGCGAATAATGCAACTGGGTGAGAATTGCAATAATAAGAACTTGCATTCTGGTATCCGTTACATATAACTGTATGCATATTTTCCTTAAATCGCAATAATTAATCTCACACTTTTGTTCTGTTTCAAAAATCACAATATTAAATGCATGCAATAATTTCTGAATTAACAATTTATTTGTAGGAATCTGGATTTATCACTGAGGTTCATCATGTATCAGGTGAAGGAGAGAATGCTGGGGTTGTATACTGTGAAATGCAAGGCCGAGAGAACACTGGAGAAAGTCGATGTCACCTTGCCATGCTCAGAGCATTGTACCCAGGAAAGTGTGGTTACAAATCTGAAACAGGTGGCATAATGAAGAACCTTAGGGAGAGTACATCACATCAGAAGGTAATATTTATGTACCATGCCATTTAAAAAACAAAAGGTACGTACACATAGGTGATACTGTTTATATATTGCAAGTAGTAGAAATATACCACAGACCTTCATCATCTGACTTAACATTGCCAAATATGAAGCATAGCTCCACTGAACATTTTACCACAACATTCTGATGTCTGTAATTGATTTACCAATGATCTATTGGGCAACATCAATCATTGTTCCATTGTGACAGCAAGTAGAATTTTTTTTTTCAGTTATGGATAACATGATTCCTTCCTTATTGTAGTGGGAAGTAATTTGAAAAAGTCCACATAGTTTTCTACTGTTTTAATCAGATGATTCATTTTCAGTGGGGTTTTCATGCAGCTTGAAATTTTCAAGAAAATTACTAATTTAACAGCTAGTACTGCTAAATGTTTGGAAACCTTATGAATATATCTTGATATTTTTATTTGTGATACATTTTGTATTTCAGTTACCTTTCTTATGTTCAAGAATGCAATGGCATAAAAACAGATTCTTTTTAGAATACCTCATGCTTGATACCAAATCTTCAAATGGAAATCGGAAATGTCTGTTTTATCTTAAAGGATCAAACACTTTTTTTCTGTCTGTGTGTGATTTCCTGACAATTTTATTTGGAATAAGCAAGAGTTTTCATTTTAAAACTCATTATAAACATTAAACAGATGCTACCACTTCACCCCATTATTTATATTATTTATTCACTCATGACAGTTGAATTTTCAAAATTAAAAAAACAACCAGGGTATTATGGTAGAATCTATATTTATCTAATTATCTGATTATTTTATAGGTATGCGATTACCACAGAGATTACTACAGACCAGAAAATTTATGTCTAATAATCACAGGTCACATAAAACCAGAGGAAGTGTTTGAAACCTTGGGACCACTGGAGGAGAAAATTTTAGGAAAGGTAATTGATAATTTACAATTCAAAGATAAATTCCATATAAAGTCTCATTTTATGGATTATATTTTGTAGGAGGGTGACAGAAAGGTAGTAATGCAATTTTTCTCCATTCTAAAAATAGCAATTTTATTCTTTCAATGTTATTGGTGATTTCTTACAGGTGTTTTCTGAAAGCTTAGGGAGGCACAATGATGAAATTTTTTTCTGAAAGTCTGAAAGCTTATATAATTAGGAAGGCACAATGAAGAAAATAATTGAATGGTGGTGGGTTTTTTAAAGTTTTTATTTTTATGTATAATCTACAAGAAGAAAAATGGAACATAATTATTTAGAATTGTTTTTTGCTGTGTTAAGTAAAATAAAAAGTGCCTTTCTATCCCCTTCTACTGATTTAGATACAAAACACTTTATGCATTCCTTAATTTTTAGAATATCTCCTCTTATATCAATTCAAAAATTGTCTATCTGTCCAATGTTTTTTTTTAAGCCAACACTGGTTTTAGAATAATTGAGACTATTTAATATACTTGTCTGTTTTAGGGGAAGTTGCCAGAATTTGCTCGACCTTGGCAGAATATAGTTCCTCCTCTAGGTGCTACTGTTGAAAAATGTTTACCATACCCTGCAGATGAAGAGGACCATGGTATAGTTCTGATAGCCTTTAGAGGCCCTCTGGCTAAGGTATATTGTTGAATTGTTTATTTAGAAAAATATTACAATGCATGTAATGGTTGAGCAAAAGTGTACTGTGGAATACAAAACTTAATAAATCATTGAATATCTTAAAAAAACCTTAAAGGATGCAAAAGTGAAAGCAAACCAAGCCAGGTAAACAGCTTGTCTTCTCACCATTCCTGTACACTGTTTGATTAGCTTGACTTTGTCTCAGAAAACAGGAGAAAAGAGAAATTTTGTGCAAAATTTCTGAATAGACATAGTTGTTGACAATGTCTTTGACTTATGGTTAAAATGAAATTGAAATAAAATTTAACTGTATTATTTCAAAGTTTTAGAATTTGTTATTGCATATACAGAGTGATCACATGACAGGTGAAATTCGTTCCTACTGGCAAAAACCCAAAGAGACAAAAAACATTGGGATGGGGAATGCAGGGAAAAAAGCAAATGGAAATAAATATATACCATTTTTAAAGTGGACAAATTAATTTATTCATCTACATTTTTTATTCAGATGCCTTTGATTCCATCTGTAATATCATTTTAGGAAATTCTGTATTTATAGCAATCTTGACAAAAATATATTAATTCAAATTTTAATTAATACATGTATATTAAAAAGAAAACTATAGGACTGATATGGGTAAAGATATATGGTCATGTTGACTCCTCCCATCTGGCAGTAAGACCAATGCTGAGGAGGTGTCTATTTACTGTGCAGGATAAAATTGAGAATGGAAATGGGGAATGTGTCCAAGAGACAACAACCCGACCATAGAACAGACAACAGCAGAAGGTCACCAACAGGTCTTCAATGCAGCGAGAAATTCCCGCACCCGGAGGCGTCCTTCAGGATGTATAGATATGCATATATAAATATTCTTTTTCCAGTAATAGTCCAGAATACCTTCCCTTCATCACAGTCATGACAGTATAACAACATTGCAAAAACTACTAAATTGGATTTTTGTAAAAACTGATTCTCGTCCTGAATATGAATGATATATTTGTCACAGATGTTAAGAAAAACTGTGATCAGTAATTAAATTGAGGTCAATACTATAAAAACTAACAATTCTTTTATTTTAGGACCAGTACCGTTTTCAGTCATTGGCAGTTTTACAGGAATATCTGTCGGACACAGCGATATCACCCCTTCAGAAATTTTTTGTAGAAACAGAAGATCCATACTGTAGTCAGGTAACTACTTTCATTACTATGAATGAAAATTAGGCATGTGTTTTTGGTAACTGTCTGTCATATCATTTCATTTATTGTTTTTAGCCTAAATCAGACCACTGGTTTTCTTTTCTTACTTGAGTCATATTTTGTTACGACAAGAATTTTTATAGCTTACTATATGGTTATGGGTTTAGTGACCTTCATCCTCGTTCTTTGGTCTCTGGTAGATAGATGTCCCATTGGCAATCATACCATATCTCCTTATTTTCATTTAAGTCAGGAATTTAAGATATCAAATGTGTTATGTACATTTCACATTTAATAGGCCCGTTTACGGGACATATTATGGTATACTGTTGTCCGTCCATCCGTTGTCAACATGTCGGACAATAACTCAAAAACTTTTTCACCAATTTGCGAAAAACTTTGATGAATTGTTCATATCTATTGACATGAGATCCCTTTCATTTTTTATAAATTTTAGATTTTACGTTTCCCAGTTATGGGGTTTTATTCATTAAAAAAGGGGGATTTTCCAGTTTTCGGACAATAACCCAAAAACACTTTCACCAATTTGGCCGCCATGGCTAAAAATAGAACATAGGGGTAAAATGTAGATTTTGGCTTATATCTCTGAAACCAAAGCATTTAGAGTAAATCTGACATAGGGTAAAACTGATTATCAGGTCAAGATCTATCTGCCCTGAAATTTTAAGACAAATCTGACAACCTGTTGTTGGGTTGCTGCCCCTGAATTGGTAATTTGAAGGAAATTTTGCAGTTTTTGGTTATTATCTTGAATATTATTATAGATAAAGATAAACTGTAAACAGCAATAATGTTCAGCAAAGTAAGATCTACAAATAAGTTGTCATGACCAAAATTGTCAGTCTACCCCTTTAGGAGTTATTGCCCTTAATAGTCAATTTTTAACTATTTTTGTTTTAAATTTTTGTAATCTTTTACAAAAATCTTCTTCTCTGAAACTACGGAGACAAATTTAACCATACTTGGCCATACTCATTATTAGGGTATCCAGTTTAAAAAATTTGTCCGATGACCCCGCCTTCCAACCATCATGGCTGATTTGGTTAAAAATAGAACATAGGGGTAAAATGCAGTTTTTGGTTTATATCTCTGAAACTAAAGCATTTAGAGCAAATCTGACAGGTGGCAAAAATGTTCATCAGATTTAGATTTATCTGCCCTGAAATTTTCAGACGAATCAGACAACCCGTTGTTGGGTTGCTGCCCCTGAGTTAGTAATTTTACAAAAATTTTGGAGTTTTTTGTTATTATCTTAGATATCATTATAATATCTAATATCTAATACTATTAATTATGATTTTAACCTTATTTTACATGATTTCCAAAGCATCAGTAAATACAGGTGAGCGACACAGGCTCTTGAGAGCCTCTAGTTTGAAAAAGCGACGGGCGTATCATGCACTCATGGTGCAGCTGTTTATTAATTTTTTTACACAAACTGATATTATTGAAGCCATGTCTTCAAACAATCTGATTAAAATACAGATCCGGTTTTCAATCTTTACTTACAAGGATGAGACAAGATATTGTTTACTTTACTGTTCTGGAAGTTATTACATCAGCCCATGAAATTTTAGCCTTTACATTTTGATGGTGTGTATTAATCTGACAAAAGGAGACGTTACTGAAAGGTCTTTAAAACAGAGAGTTTTCAGATCCTTGTAAGTGCAAGATTGGTCATCAAAACTTACCACCTGTAAAAAGATTATAGCATCCAGTAAAAACACCAATATATATCCTTTTAAGGACCTGTGTCTGACAAATTCACATTAGATTGCTTAAGGTGCACTTGATGCTGAAGTCCACAAAGATACATACTCATAATCTATGTACATGGACAAACAAATCAAAAATATCTGTAAAATGGACTGACACTTCACAAACTTAACACAGGATTCTTTAGATTTTTATGAACTTATAAGCATTTGACTGAGCATGCACAGCTTTAACAGAGATAAATTCAGTTTGATTGGTTAGGTACATGTAAATGCCACACACTATACGTTGGTACAATTTCTTGCAATAAATGCAAGCCTCCAGGATATATCCAAGTGTGCTGAAAGTTGGTTTAAACATCAACAATCAACAGTTGACATGAAGATTAGACAGAAATTATCATTAATATCACAGTCTGACAGGATGAACTTAGATTTTTGAAATGATTTCTGTCAAGGTCTTGAAAATGACATAATTTTGTTTATCTGTAAAGTCATAATCAATGTGTTATCACTTTACAAATCAACAGAATTGATGTGTATACAGTGATGTTTCCAAATACCTTGATCACTAGACTTCTTAATAAATTCAAAATACAAGTGTTCAAAAGTTTAATTAACATCCACATCAGATCACATCACAACTTGATCAGTTTTTACTTAGGTTAGTAGCGCAGTCTGTAGTTTTTTATGTATATAGTGTTTGGTTTTTCTTTTCTTTGTCTTTTGTTTTTTTGCCATGGTGTTTGTCAGTTCATCTGGACTTACTAGTTTGAATGTTCCCTTGGTATATTCCGACTCTTTTTTATTCTCATGAATATACCTGGTATACAATATTGCTTATAGCTTATGAAAAGGTTATTTGCCTCTAGTGTTATATGATTGTCTTCATCATTTAAAACTCAAAGAAAACTTCTATGTCATTTGGTCTCTGGAGAGTTGTCTCAAATGGCAATCATACCACATCTTCTTATTTTGACATTCTAGATGAAGAACAGCATTACAATGATGTTCTTCTGCTTTGTTATTTCCAATGTATATGGTTGGTTGTTGATTAATGCGCCTTTATTCCTTATTTGAAAATATCATTTAATTATACCCCCGCTTTAAAAAATTGGGGGTATACTGTTTTACCTCTGTCTGTCCATCCGTCAGTCAGTCCATCTGTCAGTCTATCCATCCATCAGTCCGTCCTTCCGTCCCATGAATATTTTTCGTCATATAAGTCAGCTGTACCGTGTGATGCGTTTTCAGATTCATCACTCAACAACTTCCTGTTAATCGAACACTTGTATCATTTTACACATGAAAGCCAAGTTGAAAATTTTCGTCACATTTTTCTCAGGAACTACAATACAAGGATTTCTGAAATTTGGATTCAGGGTTTATATAAGTCAGCTACACCGTCTAATGCGTTTTCAGATTCATCACTCAACAACTTCCTGTTTACTGAAATATTTGGGCGGGGGTATCATCAGTGAGCAGTAGCTCGCAGTTTCACTTGTTGTTACATGTTATAAATTTATCACTGACCATTTGAAATTTAATGAAATCATAGCTTAACTGAAAATATTATACATTACAGGTGAGCAGCTCAGTCATTGAGAATTCAGAGTCTTGTTTGTATTTTATGTTTCAAGATGTAAACACAGAAAAGCTTCGTGATATCAAACCGAAGTAAGTAAATTAAATCTAAGATGTTTGCTACTCTTATTTTTGACTTTTGTCAGATTTTCAGAATCCTCCAGTTTTATCCATGTTGTGCTAATGAAAATTTTTCATGCTAACCCCAATTTCTTTTCATTATTTTGTTACATATATATAGGTGTAATACCACCAAATCATAGTACGTCACACCCGGTTGCATACGAAAATAGGTCGAAAAAAAATATTCCCTTGCATTTGACAGTTGTAGGTAATTGATCCTACATTTCATTGCAGTAAAACATTTCTTGGTCATAAACATATTTCTTAGGTATTTCAAAGCACCATTATTTTTTTATTTGAAGTTTCTATAGAATATTTTGGAAACTTGAGGTTACATGGTTACTAAAGCTTGTACACAGGTTAAAATAAGGGGGAAAATTTGATTGATTAACTTCCAGTGATGGTTATTTTCTTATATGCAATGAAATGTTATGTGAAATTTTTTCTATAGTACTGGACAGGATAAAACTTTACTCATGCCAAGTATTTCTTTATTTGAAATAAAGATAAATTCTGCACAATTTTTTGAAAAGTGCAAATTTAACAAAGACTAGGGGAAAATCATTGGTGGTATTACACCTATAGTTTAATATGTTATTTTTGTCGAGCCTGCGACTTTTGTCGCAGAAAGCTCGACATAGGGATAGCGATCCGGCGGCGGCGGTGGCGGCGGCGTTAGCTAACTTCTTAAAAGCTTTATATTTTAGAAGGTGGAAGACCTGGATGCTTCATACTTTGTATATGGATGCCTCATGTTACGAAGTTTCCGTCAGTCACATGTCCAATTTCCTTGACCTCATTTTCATGGTTCAGTGACTACTTGAAAAAAAAGTTCAGATTATTTGTAATGTTAAATTCTCTCTTATTATAAGTAATAGGATAACTATATTTAGTATGTGCGTACCTTGCAAGGTCCTCATGCCTGTCAGACAGTTTTCACTTGACCTCGACCTCATTTCATGGATCAGTGAACAAGGTTAAGTTTTGGTGGTCAAGTCCATATCTCAGATACTATAAGCAATAGGTCTAGTATATTTGGTGTATGGAAGGACTGTAAGGTGTACATGTCCAACTGGCAGGTGTCATCTGACCTTGACCTCATTTTCATGGTTCAGTGGTTATAGTTAAGTTTTTGTGTTTTGGTCTGTTTTTCTTATACTGTATGCAATAGGTCTATTATATTTGGTGTATGGAATGATTGTAAGGTGTACATGTCCAACTGGCAGGTGTCATCTGACCTTGACCTCATTTTCATGGTTCAGTGGTTATAGTTAAGTTTTTGTGTTTTGGTCTGTTTTTCTTATACTGTATGCAATAGGTCTATTATATTTGGTGTATGGAATGATTGTAAGGTGTACATGTCCAACTGGCAGGTGTCATCTGACCTTGACCTCATTTTCATGGTTCAGTAGTTATAGTTAAGTTTTTGTGTTTTGGTCTGTTTTTCTTATACTTTATCCAATAGGTCTACTATATTTGGTGTATGGAATGATTGTAAGGTGTACATGTCCAACTGGCAGGTGTCATCTGACTTTGACCTCATTTTCATGATTCAGTGGTCAAAGTTAAGTTTTTGAGTTTTGGTCTTTTTTCTTATACTATTATGCAATAAGTCAACGATATTTGGTGTATGGAAATATTCTATGATGTACATGTCAGTCTCGCAGGTTTTATTTGACCTTGACCTCATTTTCACAGTTCATTGCTCAGTGTTAAGTTTATGTGTTTCAGTCTGTTTTTCTTAAACTATAAGCAATAGGTCAGCTATATTTGTTGTATGGAAGGATTGTAAGCTGTTCATGTCTGCCTGGCATGGTTCATCTGACTTTGACCTCATTTTCACGATTCATTGGTCAATGTTTAGTTTTCTTGGTTAAGTCTGTTTCTTAGAAACTATAAGCAATAGGTCAACTATATTTAGTGTATTGAATGATTGTAAGGTGTACATGCATTTCTTGTTTGGTTTATATGACCTTGACTTCATTTTCTTGGATCATGTTAAGTTTATGTAATAGTTGTAGTAAAGCTTTCATTTAGGACTATCAACATAATATCAATGGTTAGTAAAGAAGGCGAGACATTTCAGCGTGTCCACTCTTGTTGAAAATCCTTGTTGTTTTTTCATAGTTTTTGAAAGAGAAAGGTGCCAATGTTAATGTATAAAAAATCTAGAGGGAATCATTTCCCACAAAATTTTCAATTGATTATATCTCAAAAACAAGGACACCGACATTCTTAAAGCAATTTTTGGCAGGTTGATGGAAAAGGCCAAGAAGTTAATGTATTGAACATGAATTCTTGCTAAAATTCATAGGATTAGAACAACTTGTATTTTATTGATTGATTGATTGATTGATTGTTTGGTGGTTGTTTAAAGGCCAGCAGCAAATATTGCATGCATAAGTCGAGCAATAACATTTTACTAGTTTGTTCACTTCTTTGTGCTAGATTGACATCAAGGGTTAGATTACTCACATGCTACCTAGTATGCTCATAATTTAAGTGATTGCTTTTGTTCTTACTCATAATTATACTAGATGTGAAGTCTTTTGTTTGACCTGGCCATGGATCAACTCAACGTCTTACCGCTCTCAAGGCTGTCGCCAGATGGTTCTTTGATTCGGGAAATTCGTTTTTGTTTTATGATTTGTATGTAAAGGAGGATTCCAATTCGTTCATTTAGAATCTAATGCATTCTGAGTAATATTTTCAAAAGCGTACACCGAAACACTGTGATTGGCTTACAACGTCAAAAATAATTGAAATTCAACCAATGACATGACATTGTTTTCATTTTGGGGTACAAACAATGAAATTATCATTACCCATTGTCGTTTAGATTCTGAAACGGCAAATTCCCACTCCCTTGAAAATACCCACAAAAAATGTTGTTGTATGTTACTTATTTATTTCAGATTCTTGGAAGTTATGAAGAAAACAATGACTGATAGTTTAGATATGACCAGAATGCAAAATATTATTCATAGAAAAGTTCTAGAAGCTTTGAATAATGTAAGATGTTTTACTTTTTATACGACCGCAAAAAAATTTTGTGGTCGTATATTGGTATGACGTTGGCGTCGTCGTCGTCGTTGTCGTCGTCGTCGTCGTCCGGCGTCGTTGTCGTCCGGCGTCGTCGTCCGAATACATATTGGTTTTCGCACTCTAACTTTAGTTTAAGTGAATGGATCTTTTTGAAATTTGACCATAAGGTTAAATACCACAAAAGGAAGGTTGGGATTGATTTTGGGGGTTATGGTACCAACAGTTAAGGAATTAGGGGCCAAAAAGGGGCCAAAAATGAGCATTTTCTAGTTTCCAGACAATAACTGTGGAACGGTGTATGGATCTCTCTGAAATTATACTACAAGTTTCCATACCACAAAGGGATGGTTAGGATTTACTTTGGGGGGTTATGGCTCAAACCGTTTAGGAATTAGGGGCAAAAAAGGGGGAAAAACAAGGTTGTCCTGGTTAATGGACAAATACTTTAGTACAAAACATAATTTAAAGCAGTGTAAGGGAGATAAATCAAATACATCATTGAAATTATCTCCCTTACACTGCTTTTAAATTATGTATAAAGTAATGGTTAATGAACAATAAAGATAATCTAAAACAGTGTAAGGGAGGTAATCCAAATACAACGTTTTGGTTACTTCCCTTACACTGCTTTTAAATTATGTTTAAAGAAATGCATATTTATAAAGGAAGACCAGTAAAAATATCTGCAAATGTTTTCATCTTTTTTTTTTACAAAAAAATCCATATGAAAGATTTGACACTATATTTTTATTAATTCTATTATAAAATAGATTAAGTTAGCACTATGGTAAATTTAAATGGGTAATTATGGTTGCCAACTCCATTGGAAATTTGAATTGAGATTATGACCATATCTTGAGGGAAAGAATTTTTTTGGAGGAAAAGGGGGGGGGGGATAAAAAGAAATTGTGGGGGGCCAATTTTTTCTCATTTCAGATTTCAGAAATTAAAAAGAATTATTCTTCAAATATTATTTTTTTTTCAAATTTCAAATATTGAAAAATTTCAAGAAGTAATCTTTAATTGCACAGTATGGCGCATTAAATTTGTAAAATCTTTGATCACATTTATTTATTTGTTATGCCGAATCTAACAGTGTATTTAGATTTTTAATTTTGGGTCCAGTTTTCAAATTGGTCTACATTAATGTCCAAAGGGTCAAAAATTAAACTTTGTTTGATTTTAGCAAAAATTGAATATATGAGGTTCTTTGATATGCTGAATCTAAACATGTATTTAGATTTTTGATTTTTGGCCCAGTTTTCAAGTTGGTCCAAATTGGGGTCCAAAATTAAACTTTGTTTGATTTCAACAAAAATTGAATATATGGGGTTCTTTGATATGCTGAATCTAACCATGTATTTAGATTTTTTATTTGTGGACCCCGTTATCTAATTGGTTCATATTGAGGTCAAAAGGGTCCAAAATTAAACTTTGTTTGATTTCATCTAAAATTAAATTATTGGGGTTCTTTGATATTCCAAATCTAACCGTGTATTTAGGTTTTTAATTTTGGGTCCTGTTTTTTAAATTGGTCTACATTGAGGTCCAAAGGGTCCAAATTAAACTTAGTTTGATTTTAACAAAAATTGAATTCTTGGGGTTCTTTGATATGCTGAATCTAAACATGTATTTAGATTTTTGATTATGGGCCCAGTTTTCAAGTTGGTCCAAATTGGGGTCCAAAATTAAACTTTGTTTGATTTCAACAAAAATTGAATATATGGGGTTCTTTGATATGCTGAATCTAACCATGTATTTAGATTTTTTATTTGTGGACCCCGTTATCTAATTGGTTCATATTGAGGTCAAAAGGGTCCAAAATTAAACTTTGTTTGATTTCATCGAAAATTGAATTATTGGGGTTCTTTGATATGCCAAATCTAACCGTGTTTTTAGATTTTTAATTTGGGTCCCGTTTTTTAAATTGGTCTTCATTTAGGTCCAAAGGGTCCAAAATTAAACTTAGTTTGATTTTAACAAAAATTGAATTCTTGGGGTTCTTTGATATGCTGAATCTAAACATGTGTTGAGATTTTTGATTATGGGCCCAGTTTTCAAGTTGGTCCAAGTTGGGGTCCAAAATTATACTTTTTTTGATTTCAACAAAAATTGAATATATGGGGTTCTTTGATATGCTGAATCTAACCATGAACTTAGATTTTTTATTTGTGGGCCCCGCTATCAAATTGGTTCATATTGAGGTCAAAAGGGTCCAAAATTAAACTTTGTTTGATTTCATCAAAAATTGAATATATGGGGTTCTTTGATATGCTGAATCTAACCATGTATTTAGATTTTTTATTTGTGGACCCCGTTATCTAATTGGTTCATATTGAGGTCAAAAGGGTCCAAAATTAAACTTTGTTTGATTTCATCGAAAATTGAATTATTGGGGTTCTTTGATATGCCAAATCTAACCGTGTTTTTAGATTTTTAATTTGGGTCCCGTTTTTTAAATTGGTCTTCATTGAGGTCCAAAGGGTCCAAAATTAAACTTAGTTTGATTTTAACAAAAATTGAATTCTTGGGGTTCTTTGATATGCTGAATCTAAACATGTGTTGAGATTTTTGATTATGGGCCCAGTTTTCAAGTTGGTCCAAGTTGGGGTCCAAAATTATACTTTTTTTGATTTCAACAAAAATTGAATATATGGGGTTCTTTGATATGCTGAATCTAACCATGAACTTAGATTTTTTATTTGTGGGCCCCGCTATCAAATTGGTTCATATTGAGGTCAAAAGGGTCCAAAATTAAACTTTGTTTGATTTCATCAAAAATTGAATTATTGGGGTTTTTTGATATTCCAAATCTAACCGTGTATTTAGATTTTTAATTTTAAGTCCCGTTTTTTAAATTGGTCTACATTAAGGTCCAAAGGGTCCAAAATTAAACTTAGTTTGATTTTAGCAAAAATTGAATTCTTGGGGTTCTTTGATATGCTGAATCTAAACATGTGTTTAGATTTTTGATTATGGGCCCAGTTTTCAAGTTTGTCCAAGTTGGGGTCCAAAATTAAACTTTGTTTGATTTTAACAAAAATTGAATATATGGGGTTCTTTGATATGCTGAATCTAACCATGTATTTTGATTTTGGACATTGGACCATAATAGGTAAATTAAAAAAATTCAAGTTCTTAGACCACATTCTTTCTGTGTCAGAAACCTATGCTGTGTCAAATATTTAATAACAATCCAAATTCAGAGCTGTATCAAGCTTGAATGTTGTGTCCATACTTGCCCCAACTGTTCAGGGTTCGACCTCTGCGGTCGTATCAAGCTGCGCCCCAGCGAAGCATTTTATTATTTTTATCAAAGTAATAGCAATTATTCTATCTAATTGGTAATTTGTATAGTTCCCTCTTGATCTGCATGATCTGTAGTGGCAAATATTATCTGTATCCAATATGGACATGATATGAAAATTATTGGGTCATTAAGCTTCCTCACATGCATGAGTACATCATGAAAGGATCTTCTTTCATTTTCATGGACAAAAATGCCCCTTAAGTGTTTTCTGAATGACATATTGTCATTGTTTCAATAAATTTTTTTTTACCTTCAAATGGGAGATGTCTCAAACTTAGTTTTGATTTAAATATTTACTAGATTATCAATTTATTTGGTGCAATTATTTCTATAGGCAATGAAAAAATTTGAGTAACAGGTAAAACAAAAGGGTTGGTTGAATGATTAATAATTTTTTTCTACTCACGTAAGAATGGCCCTGATAGTAATTGTTTGGGTATTCAGCATTTACTAATCTCTTTCCTATTATAACAAATTATTTTTTAGGGTTAATGTACATTATCTGAAATTTCAGACAATTATTTAAGAAAAAGGACTGAAAATTCAAATATATTGTAAATATTCAACATCGAAGAAAATTCTAATATCCTGTTCCAACCTCTTACTTGTCCCTGACAAGAAAAGGATGAACTTTAAGGATAAGAGATTAGATAGTTGTCTCCCAAGAAACATGGTAATGATGGTACCAGATATAAAAAGCTACATTGCCTGTATTTGTCTTATTACAGGTAGAAGAATGTCCACATGATTCTATAGCTTTTATCATTATTGGAGATTTCCTGTATGGGGATACAAAAGAGGATGTAAGTATGAGAAAATAGCATATAAAGTCATTTCTACTACTGTTGACAATATACCCTTATGAGCTAATTAATCATCTCAAAATAAATACATCATTGAAGACTGTACTGTGACCTATAATGGTTTACTTTTATAAATTTTGACTTGGATGGAGAGTTATCTCATTGGCACTCATACCACATCTTCTTATATCTATATCTTAGAATATAGCAAAGTACTCTCGACCAATGAAATTGTAGAATTGGATGCCTCTTAATTGTGAAGAATGAATGTAAATCATGTTCTTAATAAGGGATTATCCTATTAGTTGGGTCTATTTACAGTTCAAAACAAAGAGTTTCTATAAATGAGTTACAACTGCCTCGAAGCACATTTATCAGATTGAAAGGATTTATCACACAGTGATTGAAACTGACTAAAAGTTAAATTGTGAAACAAACAAAAATCTCAAAATAAGTTGAAGTTTACTGGTGCAGTAAAATTGGTACCGTGAATTTTATTATGAAAATATTAATAACTTCAAATTACTATAAAATTAAGCAATACCAAAGCAATGCAAAAAAAAAAGAAAAAAATTCTTTCAGATAATATAATAACCTAAATCTTATTGGCTGTGAAATAAAATTTAGTTGTAACTCAAATGTATTAATTGATTTAAACTGTAAATAAAAAAGGATAATTCCTCACTAAAATATTACATGATTTACATTCATACTCACAATCAGGAAACATACAATTCCTACCTTTTCTTTCTACTGTTGTGTCACCTAATATCTATAACGCATTTTTTTAAAAATATTTCCCAAATGATAAGAAAGTCCTCACATCACTAAAACTTATCCATAAATGACATGTCGAAAAAGGAAGTCATGCATCAATTATAAACATTGCACTGACAATGAAACTAATTCTTGAATAGATCATTTGAGCCTTGAGCACTTTACAATATTCTAAGTTTGTAAGAGAATGATAATCCCTTACTTCATGATAAGAACTCGCTAACGCTCGTACTTATTCATGAAGAAAGGGATTATCATTCTCTTACATATACATAGAGACCGGGATTAAGATTTTATACACAAGGCTTGCGTTTTATCTATAAAAGACTCATCAGTGCACTGGAATAAAAAAAATTAAAAAGGTCAGATAAAGTATGAAGTTGAAGAGCATTGAGGACTCAAAACCAAAAGGTTTGTCAAATACAGCTGAAATTAGATTTATGGATTATATTCCATAAACCAAAAATCTCCAAATTTGTAATGAAGGACGATAGAAATTATATGTTGTTAGTAAGATTAATCTACATAAAAATCAAATATATGAATATATGAGAAATATGCAATTTCAGTGGATTTCAGTTATTTGCCAAAAAATAGCTATGTAATTAATTGGAGTATGTTTATATTTCAAATCTGAAATTGGGGGTCAAACCAGATAGGAGGATGTAATTATATAACAGTGAATTTTTTTTCATAAATGTTTAAAATGTTTTATGGTATATACACCAAAACTCCAAAATTGATACATCACATAAATTTTGTATGAAAGATGACAATAATGATTTGCAGGTTTTACCAAGTTCTTCAACGAATTCAAACTTTTGAATATATAAATATTATATAAGGCTATATTGCGATTTCTGGAAAATCTGCATACACTTATAAGTATCAGATATCGGAATGTGAGTTCTTATTATTGCAATTATCACCCAGTCTCATTATTCACAATGATAAAAACACAATAATTTCTGAATTAATATTAGTTACTTTTTCTAACTTACATTATTTTAAATATATTTTCACAGCTTGAATCAAGAGTGAAGAACATTTCACTGTTCAAGAAGATGAAATCAGAATCGGAAGATTACTGGAAAGATCTAATGAAGGCATATTACAATGACAAACCACATGTTGTAGTGAGTATTTTAGAGCTTCTAGTTTTAAATACTGTGGATTCATTCTTATTCTTAGATACTGTGGATTCATTCTTATCCTTAAATAATTTAATTTTGGATGTAACACGTCTTCTGATTGGCTGAAAGATTTTTTCTATCAGCTCATAGACATAATTTTGTCATGTGACCGTGACATCATCAACGTTTTTTCATGATTTACTCCGTAAAAATGGAATTTAGAATTAAATTATAAGGAATGACTGTGATATTTTTTCTGTCTATTCGAAATAACATCAAAAGTGTGGTGCACACTTTTAAATAACACGCTACACGAGTTATTCAGTGCACACCACAATTTTATGTTATTTCTTCATAGACAGAAAAAATATTACAGTCATTCCTTAAATACAGTGAATTCATTCTTATCCTTAGATACTGAGGATTCATTCTTATACTTGGGATACCAATTTTCAGGGATTTGGTAAGTAAATGTGAACCACAAATTTAAATGTTCAAGGAAGTACACATTTTTTATAGGCATGTATGCAGGCTTAGAAAAAAAATTAAATATCCTCAAAAACTTTTACTCTGACAATCCAGGAAAATGGGTACCCTTGAAAATAAATGAATCCACAGTAGCTCTAGAAAAGATAAAAATAGAAGTTACCATTTGCAATAGAATTGGCTAACGTATGTATGATTTCTAGTGTAAGGTTCTGAGAATAATACTTCAATAATGTTGATTGTGAATACCACTGCAAAAATACATTTCTTTACAAATCTGGGTCTTAATTGGTTACATGATTTCACATCTGTCATTTGTTAACATTGTAACAGAGTTAAATTGTCAGTAAATATAGATTATAGGAGAACCCAGTCAGAAAGAGATGGTAGAAATGGCAGAAACTGAGAAAAAAAGAGTTCAAGACCAACAAAAGGAACTTAAAGAAGAAGGGTTGAAACAAAAAGGAGAACAACTCAAAAATGCCACTGAACAAAATGAAGTATGTATATTTATTCTGTAGTATTATAGTATACCAAAAGTTAACAACCAATACTCCATGCCATTGGATTATTGCATTATAGCTGGAGAATTGATGTCTTGGCATTTATATTTTTTGCCATGGCATTGTCAGTTTGTTTTCGACTTCTGAGTTTGAAAATCCCTTTAATATCTTTGGCCTCTCTTTAACAAAGTTTTGCCACACAATTAAAAAGAATATAGAGTATAAGAACATGGATAAATGTCATTAATTGTTGAATATTAACTCCACTTAATGAATTAATACTGTTTATCCAAAAGTATTATTTGAAAATTCAAAGACTAAAACTTACTTTGAACCATTTTTGTCGAGCCTGCGACTTTTGTCGCAGAAAGCTCGACATAGGGATAGTGATCCGGCGGCGGCGGCGGCGGCTACGGCGGCGGCGGCGTTAGCTAATTTCTTAAAAGCTTTATATTTTAGAAGGTGGAAGGTCTGGATACTTCATACTTTGTATATGGATGCCTCATGTTACGAAGTTTCCTTCAGTCACATGTCCAATGTCCTTGACCTCATTTTCATGGTTCAGTGACTACTTGAAAAAAAAGTTAAGATTTTTTGTAATGTTAGATTCTCTCTTATTATAAGTAATAGGATAACTATATTTGGTATGTGCGTACCTTGCAAGGTCCTCATGCCCGTCAGACAGTTTTCACTTGACCTCGACCTCATTTCATGGATCAGTGAACAAGGTTAAGTTTTGGTGGTCAAGTCCATATCTCAGATACTATAAGCAATAGGTCTAGTATATTCGGTGTATGGAAGGACTGTAAGGTGTACATGTCCAACTGGCAGGTGTCATCTGACCTTGACCTCATTTTCATGGTTCAGTGGTTATAGTTAAGTTTTTGTGTTTTAGTCTGTTTTTCTTATACTGTATGCCATAGGTCTACTATATTTGGTGTATGGAATGATTGTAAGGTGTACATGTCTAGCGGGCAGGTGTCATCTGACCTTGACCTCAGTTTCAAGGTTCAGTGGTCAAAGTTAAGTTTTTGAGTTTTGGTCTTTTTTTCTAATACTATATGCAATAGTTCAACTATATTTGGTATGTGTGTACCTTGCAAGGTCCTCATGCCCGTCAGACAGTTTTCACTTGACCTTGACCTCATTTCATGGATCAGTGAACAAGGTTAAGTTTTGGTGGTCAAGTCCATATCTCAGATACTACAAGCAATAGGTCTAGTATATTTGGTGTATGGAAGGACTGTAAGGTGTACATGTCCAACTGGCAGGTGTCATCTGACCTTGACCTCATTTTCATGGTTCAGTTGTTATAGTTAAGTTTTTGTGTTTTGGTCTGTTTTTCTTATACTGTATGCCATAGGTCTACTATATTTGGTGTATGGAATGATTGTAAGGTGTACATGTCAGGGGGCAGGTGTCATCTGACCTTGACCTCATTTTCATGGTTCAGTGGTCAAAGTTAAGTTTTTTGAGTTTTGGTCTTTTTTTCTAATACTATATGCAATAGTTCAACTATATTTGGTGTATGGAAATATTTTATGATCTATTTGGCAGTCACGCAGGTTTTATTTGACCTTGACCTCATTTTCAAGGTTCATTGCTCAGTGTTAAGTTTTTGTGTTTTGGTCTGTTTTTCTTAAACTATAAGCAATAGGTCAACTATATTTGTTGTATGGAAGAATTGTTAGCTGTACATGCCTGCCTAGCATGGTTCATCTGACCTTGACCTCATTTTCATGGTTCATTGGTCAATGTTAAGGTTACTTGGTTAATGTTAAGTTTATGTGACAGTTGTAATAAAGCTTTATATTTAGGACTATCAACATAATATCTATGATTAGTAAAGAAGGCGAGACATTTCAGCGTGTGCACTCTTGTTTTAATGTCTTAACAACCATGATAGAAGAATGTAAAGAGAGGCATGCTGAATGGTAGATCTGATTCCGATAAAAATAAATTTCCGATGGGAAATACTAGTGTTACTCTAATTGATCATGAACATGAACTATTCCATAGAAACTTTCATTTTGTTAAAGACTGTATGTTGCCCTCTACATGTCTTTCGGTTGGTTTTGTTGTTGGGTTGCTGTCCACCAATTCTTCTTTTATTCATTTTAAATTTTATATTTACAGAAAGAAGCACCAGAGTCTATGCTTACAAATGTAACAGTGCCAGATGTTTCCAAGATCAACTTCCATTCCCTGAAAACCTCTTGTAATTATGCAAAATCTGATACAATTGACAAGTTTCCATTATCCGAGATTCCATGTAAATTTCAACTAGATGACATCAAGACCAATTTTGTTGAGGTATATCTATCATTTAGGATCATCTTAGAAAATCATGCAACTTTGTTTTCTAAGATACACTAGATTAATTATCACAAATGATAAGAAAAGCTAAACAGTCACACTTGGGCAGAACAATGGAATCATAAATGAAAAAAGGCTAAAAATTGTACAACCCAAACCATCTTAAGGAAAATTACATATACCTACTGGAGTTGGGGAAATAATTACAGTAAATTTGTTTAAAATATATCAATTATTTATCAATTATAACTCTTGTTTATATCATGACCTTTATTTTTATATGCCCGTTTACAGGACGTATTATGGTATATCGTTGTCCGTTGTCAACATGTCGGACTATAACTGAAAAACGCTTTAACCAATTTGGATGAAACTTGGTGAATTGTTTATATGTATTGACGTTAGCTCCCTTTTGATTTTTTTATAAATTATGGATTTTACTTTTCTGAGTTATGGTGCTTTATTCATTAAAAAAGGGGGATTTTCCAGTTTTCGGACAATAACTCAAAAATGCTTTGAACAGTTTTCATGAAACTTTGGTGAATTGTTTATATCTATTGATGTGAGCTCCCTTTTGATTTTTATAAATTTTAGATATTATGTTTTCGAGTTATGGGGTTTTATTCATTAAAAAAGGGGGATTTTCCAGTTTTCGTACAATTACTCAAAAATGCTTTGAGCAGTTTTCATGAAACTTTGGCGACTGGTTTATATCTATTAATAAAGGCGACAGGCGTATCATGCGCTCATGGTGCAGCTGTTTATTTACAAATGTAAAGAAACAGTCATAATAACCAGTCATGACTAATTTTTGGATAGAAATGACTAAAATTAATGTTCAAAATTGGACATTCAGTATTATGAAGATTTAATTTTGCTATTTAATCACTGGCTTGTCATAAACAGTACACCCAGTCAGGTTCCATTCTAATACCTGTAAGCTGACATTTTGGGAGTTTCCTACACTACACAAGTCCCTCCTATTTAGCCTTGTTTTACCTGAGATTTCAACTGACATGTCACCTTTTCAATATTTTTTCCTGCTGAATTTAAATACCTTGGTTATTTTCCAAGTGTTAAAACTGTATCATGTTTTTTTTATGATATTAGCAATGGTTTTAAATTTTAGGTGAATGCCTTATTAGACTCATCTGAGTTATCTGAAGAAGATCGATATTATCTACCATTATTTTGTGAAGTGATCTTTGAAAGTCCAATTCTTCGTAATGGAGGTTTGTATTTTATTTTTTTTAATCTGATATCTTATATTACTTTGTTTTACACCATACATCAGGCATGAGTTAAACATTTTTTCTTGCAAGTAAATGTAGCCCATTTTATTTATATTGTTTAAGGGGGTACAGAACACCTATGGGAGTTAACTCTTAAAATCAGCTGATCAATTTAATCACATACTATTAGTAAAAAGAAATCAAGCTTCTCAATGATGAAAATTATTGTTTGTCAAACTGCTGTACATGTGTTACCAATGAAATTATTCCTGTAAATTGTGTGGTTCAAATTTCATGAAATTTTCATATTTTTGTCAACTGGTCAAAGTAAATATTTTGTCAAAATTTTATGAAGATATGGTTATCTGAATTAAACTTTTTTATTTTAGTAATTTAGATTACAATAGCTAAGAGTTTTTAAAAAAGCCTATGTTACAATATAGATACTTATTGGACACTTGCCAGAAAATGGTAAACACATGCAGGGTTTATTGTGTAACAGCAATACAATATATAATTATTAAACAAATAGCTGAGAGGGTGATAGAGCAGATTGTTACCCTGATAAAAAAACATTGTCAACCAAGGTGAAGCCAAGGTTGATTATGTTTTTTGAGGGTAAGAACCTGCTCTATCACCCTTTCAGCTATGTGTTATTTATATGAAAATGAGGAGATGAGATGAGATGAGATTTAGTTTATTATACTGAATGTTCTGTTATTATTGTCTCCCAAATTTTAGATTGAAAGTAATAAACTATGACGTTATGTAAATTCCAACTATCCATATTTAATGAAGCACTCAATTGATCAGGCATCTCTGTGAAGGGTGATAGAATATATATGCCATGGAATAGAATATCTCCTCGGTATTAACTTATCAAAATCTGGCATTTTAATGTGGAGTATAATAAACAAAAGTAACCAGAGTTTTTTTCTTGTTCAAAACTAAAAGACATTTGTTATATCAGAGACACATTGCCTTAAACATTCTGTGTCGGTCAAGAACCTCACAGCATTCCCTACACAATTGTAAAAGTTCTCTCTCAAGATTGAAGCCAGATGAAATGCATCAGAATTGCTAGAAAAATGTAGTCCAAAATACTGACAATATCTTTTCAAACATATTTCATAGTTTTAGTTTTGAAACCTATTACATATTATTTTATATTTTTTGCAAGAATTTTATGTTGTATACTTACCATTGTGAATTATGACGTCATTCTTCATCTACCAGAAAGAAAATTTTCATTGTATTTATCCTGATGAAAGTGAAGAGTATGCTGAATCATATTGATGAAAATTAAATAATACCTGCTTTCCTATGAAGCATTGTGTCTTGATTATTTTCTCAATTTTATGTAAAAATTGGGATTCCCTGCATACCTTTGGTATCCACCTCAAAGGAGGGCTTAGTAACCAGGTGTTTTTGTTTGCATGGTTTAATTTGTGGAAATTTCAAAAACACAGGATTTGTGTTCAATTTCGTTGTCCAGAAAACAATTCTGCTTCTTAGAAGTAGATACTTGATTTTGCAAATGACTGTATTTTTAAAAAAATGCAATTTAAATGGACTTAGTAAAAATAATTGTTTGCTAATTTTTCGATCACAGCATCAACAGTTGTTAAGTTTTCTACTTAAGCTAGTTTGATTGGATCTACACATGATAGATCAATGATATTTTGTATGAAGTTGCATTACTTTCAGTATATATCAGTTTGAGGACTATTTTGAGGCCCTGCCCCCTAGGTCATGGTCCAGGGACATAAATTAATTTGCCATATTCAATGTTAAGTTTTCTGCTAAAGTTAGTTTGATAGGAACTACTTGTGATAGATCAATGATATTATGTATGTAGTTGCATTATGATCAGTACATATCAGTTTGACGACTATTTTGAGGCCCTGCCGCCTAAGTTATGGTCCAGTGACTTTGAATTAATGAGAATTTTCAATGTTTAGTTTTCTGCTTAAGTTAATAGTTTGATAGGAACTACTTGTGATAAATGAATGATATTTTGTATGAAGTTGCATTACTATCAGTACATGTCTGTTTGATGACTATTTTGAGGCCCTTCCCTCTAGGTCATGGTCTAGTGACTTTGAATTACGGTAAATAGCAATTTTCAATGTTTAGTTTTCTGCTTAAGTTAGTTTGATAGGAACTACTTGTGATAGATGAATAATACTTTGTATGAAGTTGCATTACTATCAGTACATCTCAGTTTGTTGACCATTTCGATGCCCTGCCCACTAGTTCATGGTTCAGTAACTTTGAATTAATTAGCAATGTTGCTGTCCATCTGATTGTCTTTTTCTGAATTTTATGCCAACAGGCGAGACATATCTCTGTGTCAACAGTCTATTTTTATTTGTATGCCCCACCTACGATAGTAGATCTAGAGGGCATAATGTTTTCTGATCGAAGGGTCCTTACATCTGTCTATTTGTAAGTCATTCCTCTGTCTTTTCCATATCAGGTTAAAGCTTTGTTTAAGGTATGTTAAAGTTTAAGTTGAGGGTAGGATGATTTCAAAAATAAAAAAAAATAATTTGACAAATTCTTGTATGCATTTACTTTACTTTATATTTTGAAAACAAAATAAAACCTTAAAGGAATTATCATGTTATTTTATAAAAGTATGGATTGTGTGGGTTCCAAAGTAAATACATGTTTGTGTACCAGTAGATTTGAGATTATAGCCTACCAAACCCTAACCTTAGTGTTTCCTATTTTATAATGAATTGCCCTTATGGGTAATGACATATTTTTTCAGAACTAATTGACCATGAGGAAGTGATCAAACAGCTAGAGGCAGATACTATATCATTCAGTGGACAAGTGGGTGTAGGGGGATCAAAGTTTTTATGTGGTACTTACCCACAAATCGTACAAGTTGAGTTAAAGGTAATATTATACAAGTTTAACCTTTCTAAAAAGGGTACGAAGGGCTTTGTAGTATCATCAATTACGTCAACATAAAGGAATAATGATTGATCTGGGTCTTGAATACTCATACTGTTATTTAATACCTTCTCCTCTCCAGGACATGTTCCTAATTCTATTCTTATTCTACCCAATTGAATTATAGCCAAAAAAAATTGAAAATGGCATAAATATTGAATGAAACTGTAACTTTGCATGTGATTCAAAGCAAAAAAGTTATTTTATTTATTAAGTGTCAATCTTTTACTGATATACAATGATAATTATCACAATTAGGGAATTATTTCATGGTTTCATCGTTTAAAACATGAAGAATACCATAACATGGGGTGGTAAAATTATAAATATTTTGAAATTCTTGTTATTTCTTATGTATTTTTCATGCAATTAAACACTCCTTTCTTCTTTTAGAATTCAAATGAAATTTATTAGCGTCATTTAAACCTGTTTGTATATTAAAAACAATCGCACAGACCATCTATATTTCTGCATAGTTTTGATGTATCATGTATGACCTTTATCATTTAGGGAAACATTTTATTTTGAATAACAGCGGCAAATAGCCATAATTCCTATTTATGATCTGTAAATTCAGAAATTATTGTGATGTTTTTAAAAGTGCGAAAATTGCAATGGAATATGTTTTACATAAAAGCATACTCTCATTTGAAATTTTTATAGCATTATTGATATGAAGTATTTCCTGAAATCACAATAATTAATATTTGCATGTGAGTCCATTGTTCAACAATCACAGTAATAATTTCTGAATTTACTGCAGTACATTTTATAGGACTGTTTCAGAAAAAGATCTTTGGGGTCTCTGAAAATTCCTTTTTTTAAATAGATTTTTGTTGAACAATTCAAAACCTGTGGAATAAACTGTAAAACCTTAAGTCTATGGTAAGGGGTAAGGAACAAGTGCCTTGAAAGACCTCAAGTAGAAATTTTTCTTCAACAATCCTCATAGAAATTCATTTGATATGGAATAGATGATCATGAAACAAACAAAAAAAATAATGACCAACCATTCTTTATTTTTTAAGAAATAAAATAGAAATTTTGCAAGTTGAGCTTATTTGCTTTACCGTATTTTTTGTACTTGAAAGTGGTTTTTGACACAAAAAGGACATATTTCTAAAAGTATAGTATTCCATTTCAATGAATGTGGGATGGTTGAAAGGGACTTTCAAAATCCCCCCACAACAACTTTGCATAATTTGGATTCATAGTAATTCGTTGGATACCAATTTGCATGGATTTATTGGTTACAGGTGAACCCATAATTTAAATGTTCAACAAAGTGCAAATTTTCTATAGGCTTGTATGCAGACTTTTGTAAAACCACGAAATCAAATATCCATAAAAATGCAATGTTTCCTTAATCCTTGTAAATAAATTAATTCACAGTATATCAAATGGACATGCAAACATAAATGACCAATGGCCAATGTCCAAAAAATAAAACTTCCCTTCCTAGCTTCCCATATTCATTTTAATGGAATAGCCCTTATATATATGTCATATAACTTTATTTACAGTTTGAAGAAGACAAGTACTTGAAAGGTATTCAATGGTTGAAAGACGTATTGTTCCACACACAGTTCACGGCAGAAAGACTCAAAATCGTAGCACAAAAAATGGCAAATAGCATCTCATCCTTAAAAAGAAGTGGTTTTAAAGTGGTCCGTACTGTATTTCTAGATCTGACATATACCAAAGGTAGGTTTATTGATAATATTGTTACTTGTAAACTTTATAAATATGTTTGGTTATTGTCATATCGTTTCAATTTTGTGCATTATTAATCAATAAATAAATTTGATGTATTTACTGTCTTCTGATTGGTTAAAAGTATTACCTTTATTTTCAATGTTGTCAATTTTTATGGCGACACGCCCACTCTAACGTAGTGTATTCATACGCCAACATGTGTGTATGTTGTTATTGTTAATATAAATAATATAAAAAGCTCTTTGAGCCTTATTTTTTATATAAATTTATTTATAATGAATGACAATAATTTACTTTGAATTTATTAAACCATAAAATTAATTTTTGACTCTTCACATTTTACATAATCCACTTGGCGGATTATTCAATGTGAAGAGTCAAAAATTAATTTTATGGTTCAATAAATTCAAAATAAATAATAGCCATTCATTAATTTGTTTTAAAGGCAACTGAATATTGTAAGGGCTATTTCATTAGAATGAATGTAAGAGGTAGGAAGTAGTGTTTTTATTTTTGGACATGGGTCGTGGGTCAATTATGTCCATTGATGTATGCAAAGTTTTTTAAAGAAAGTATGTTAATTGTGGTGTAAATTTCTAAGTCGATTGCTATGCTTCCACATTCCTTTTAATGGAATAGCCTTAACTATGTTCAGTACAGGAAAAGGTAAACTTTCAGATGTAATAGAAATTTGTTATAACCAAAAACCTGGATATTTTTTTATATACAGTTGGAGTTTCAATTTTCAGTCATCATAAAAGAGTTGTGCCCCTTTATAAACTGAACTTTCTCTAATTGCCTTTAATAATTGTCCTTTAGCAAAGATTTGTTTATGTTATTCTAACTACATGTATTAAATATATGTCATAATAGCATTCATGTTCAATTTAAAGTGGAAGGTATATTCTTAGCTTACTTGGACCTGTAAATCAACCAACAATCAAAAACTTGAATGGTACTATTATTGGTTACATTTTTACCTTCTCAAGATAGGCCTCAAAAGTATTGTAAATATAAGGTTAGCTTTTGAAAGCTTTGATATCATAGTTGGGGATTTTCCCAATTTTAGAGAAAAAACATTTTGGCTAAATTGATATAGAGCACACTTGTCACCCAAAAATATTTTCGTCAGGACACAAAATACACTTCCTATGTGAATTTTTTTTTTGGCGTGGATTGTCCTGTATATTATTTCTTAGTATCTTTGGCTTAAATATTTATGATTTAGGAAAATTCACTGTTTAATTGAATTTTCTTTTTTGCATGCCCTTTTTATTCATGAAGAGCAAGTACATTTAGATTGAATATCAATGTTTTATTCAAGTACAAAGATTAAAAGATTAATTTTGACAATTTTTTTAAATGTTGAGGTACCAAATCTATAATTTTCAAAGGAACAGTTAAGATTTCAAGGAATTGAAAAAAGCAGATTTTGGCCTTGTCAACTTTTATTTGCATTTTGTAGGTTGTAACATAACTGCTGCAAGTTTAGTCAGACAGGAAAAGTTTTTGAAAAATTTACAAACTCAGCTTGATGAAAATAGTGAAAAGGTAAATATTTGTTGGGCTTTTGCATAAAAAAAGTTGGAAGGTGAGAGGGGGGTTTCTTGGTAGACTTTGAAATGAAAGATTGATATGGTGTGTTCCAGAATCAGGTTTTATTATATCTCTTACTATATTGTGAACACAATTCCTCAGAGACAATCCATTCTTATTTTTATATAATTGGGTTTTTTGTCATTGTGTATTGTTGGCCATACTAAATTGTAATTTAGATTTGACATATTTTGTTGAAGTTACAAGACTTTGACCGTTAAAAGTTAGACCTATTTTAGTGTAAGGGCAACTAAAAGTTAAAAAAGAAGTAATTACTTTGTAAAAGAACATGTTAAGGGAACACATGGGTGGTATCTTGTAAAAAAATTTCACGATAAAAAAATTGTGCATTTGAAAAAGTTTGTGTTTTCTGCTCCAGGTACTAAAAATCATGGAGAGGATAAGGGATTCCCTTACAGCAGATTTAAGGATTCATTTATCTCTTCAAGTTGACAATGTTGCAAAAGTGTCGTCTGCTCTAGAAGAACCATGGAAGGTATTTGTGCCAAAAGAAAAACTGTCTACTACATCTGTTGATAAGTAAGTTTTTTTTTTAAATCATGATTTAAAAAATAATTTGAGGGTCAAAAATAAATTATATCCCTAACGTCACAGTACCCAAATTGCACCCATTTAGCAAAAATAGCAGCACAAATTTTACTTAAGTTTTCTTAAGAAACTTAACAATTTATATTTTTATAATTTGACATTATGCAAGTCTTTCAACATAGGTAAATACATATATAAATATACACAAAACATTCACAGTATATATCAACAGATAAAGTATTCACTGGAAAAAGTAGAATCTACAGATATGTCAACATGCAATGTCAACGAAAAGTCAACTTTAAAAAATTAACAATTAGAATATGTGACAGGCATCCATTTCTAAAAAAAAATGAATAGTAAGCATGGACTATTGTCAATTGTTCTAAATATTTGGAGAAATAAAACAAAACATCAGATATTCAAATTTTACGGATGTGAATTTAAGCATGAATGCAATTTGGGTACTCCTCATTACAGAATCATGGATCAATCGGAGGTCGGTTCAAACACGTTCTTCTATGGTTCAATATGGATTCAATATTGAGTTGGTGTAACCATGGAAGTAATATTTAAAAGGAATAACAACGACTAATTAGCATGTATTTATGGCCTGCAGAGCTCTGTACTAAAGTCATATGATTATATTCAATTATAGTCTCAGCGGCAAGACCCCTTTGGTTACTATCTGTGATACCGCGGTTGTAAAATGGCATGTGGAATTTCTTATTAGTCACGTGATTTTATCGAGTCCGGTAATTATAAATCACCTGTGGGAAATCCCTAGTTTATTAACAACAAGGTGGCGTGGATCATATAAAACTTCTACCTTCAGAAAGAAATCGAATGATGTAAAAAACTTGAAAAACGGACTAGAATTGTTTAAACTACAACAGTTTAACATGGACAATTATATTTATTTTTGCATATTTTTGGCTTTTTACTGTTTGTTTTAAACTGATCTAAAAGTGTTTTCCGGTTAAAAGCGGATCACGAGTAAAACAGGTAGTAACGATGAAGCGATCAGGTTTCACATGATGTTTAACAAAATAATGTAGACAAATGTAGACATAGAATATTTTACTGTTGAAATGTGCAAAGTTTATCGAGATTTATAAAAATATTTACTTTCAAGTAATTGATTACATTATTGAAACTGGACAATTAAAATCGGGATGATAAGTTCGTAAACATGTTAAATTCATATCTATTTTAAAAAAAGTGTTTACAATTGAATACTAATATTAATGTAGCACGTTACAGCAAAAAGAAAATCAACCAAACAAAATGAGCTTGACGCTATCTGTCTAACCGCAAATTTATTTTATATGATTTTGTTTATGTACAAATTAAAGAATAGAAACGTTTAAAATTGTGAATATTTAATTTGCCTGGTATACACGAAAGACTTGGATTATTCGTATTTAATAAAAGGGGGTAGAAACATATTTTTTGTACAATCATCTTCTTAACTTTCAGAAATGGCTTCTTAATTAACTGGTTTTAAATATTAAAATTGAAAATGATCCACCCTTTTTCTTAAATTCCATATGTGATAACTGTCGGCCTAAACTATTAAGATCGAAAAAGAAATAAATAGGAAAAACAGACTAAAATCAACATTGAACGACTGACTCTATTCGGTAGCGTACAGCAGCGGAATGTAACGAGTGAACTATTCGGGTTACTTCGTACGTATATACGACAACAACTGGTCTATTCGTAATTTTCCGGGAACACGAAAATGACCGCTAAGTGTCAGTGATTTGATCTATCACATGCCGAGAGTCAATTACCATGCCATATATTAAACCAATTAGCGAGTTATCGAAAGATGGGCGGTAACGCAGATGAAACCTTTGAAGTGACGACGTTGCTATTCCTTTCAATATTACTTCCATGGTGTAACTATATAGAAAAAAAGGATACATCTATAAAATAAATAAGGAATGGAAACTTTTGTCTAGATGATAAATAAACGTAGGTGATAAACTGTCAAAAAAGGTACAATTTGGGTATCCTCATGTTATATAGGTAAAAGCTGTAGATCTTGAGTCATAAGGACTTGAGATTTCTCAATATGATTCATCAGCATTGTTTATACCTTCCATTAACCTCAAATTAAAAGAAAAAAAATTCTATTAATTATTTTTTTAGAAATATTTTTTATTAATTGTCATATCAAGGGTTGCAATAAGTTAACAAAAAACCAATGTTTTGAGTTTTTAACTGAGATTTAATATTTCAGGGTAAAGGTAAAACCGTCATTGGAGTTTATAACTGCTGAAAAGCCTCACAGACAAATTATTATTGGTGTTGGATCAGTGGAGTCATCATTCCTTATTCAAGCAGTGCCTTGTATATCAGATTTCTATCACAAAGATCTACCAGCTGTTATGGTCTTCATCCAATATATGACACAGCTTGAGGGTCCAATGTGGAAACAGATTCGTGGACTTGGACTGGCCTATGGTTATAGGTAAGGAATGTGAATTTAATGCTAAAATAATTATGTAATCTTAGGGTTCTTAATGATACAGTTAATTGGTAAAAGAGTTGGTAAATATCGAAAAGTTGAACCAAAATAATTAGCAGGTTTTTACCACATTGTTCTGAAGCAGACCCAGGGATGTTTTTTTCACAACAAATTCAGTTTGTCATACGTTTTCTCCTTTAAGGAAGAAAATTGCAGGAACATTTTATTTTTGTCCCATGTATAAATCATATAAAGTTATGAATTATTTCAAAATAGATAATGCTCATAATATTTTGTAGCAGAAAAAAAGGCTCTGCAAAATTTGCAGTCTTTACTGCTATATTTTTATATTTCTTTATTCTGCTGAATTGTCTGTCATCTATGTTTGTTGTTTTTATTTAGTTATGCAATATTTTTTCAAAACACTCAATTGAGAAAATTGAATTCTAAAATTTTAATTTTTTTTTGTAAAGAGTAAATGATTGCAGAGTTGCTATATTGTTCACACATAATTGTAAATTAACTCAGAATACTTATATGATCATGATAGTGTAATTTAGTATTACCATAAAAGTGAAACTTTGTCTGACCTTAAAACTACCTTAGAGATGAGTAAAAACAGATGTTGGGCATTCTACAGATGGACAGAAACCTATCAAAACAAAAAGAGGCATTTATGTTATTTCATAATTCATATTGTTTTTTTTGTTGTAACCTCAGGATCTATACTTGCTGAATCAATTATGCAGTAGAAAATGACAAAATATAAAATTTAATTACATAATTCACAAATATTAGGTGCAGAATATGAATGAAGTTGGTGTTGATTTTTTTAGTCCCCTCCCGACGAAGTTGAAGGGGACTTTAGGTTTGCACTCCGTCCGTCTGTCTGTCTGTCTGTCCATCTGTCAGTCCAGCAAATCAGTTTTCCACACTTTTTTTCTTTATGCTTCGAAGATACTGATTTGTATTGATATTTGGTGTATTAATTTATCATGACAAGTTACAGATCAAGTTCGAATTTTGTTCCGGTCTGATAATTTTGTGCAGAGTTATGGTCCTTGGACTTAGAAAATTCACTTAAATAATCAGTTTTCAACACTTTTTTCCACAATGCTTGAAGATATTGACTTGATATTTGTTATATAGTTTACACCATGACAAGTTATAGATCAAGTTAGAATTTTTCTATTTGTCTTTATTTCCAGTATGTATGTGAAGCCAGAAAAGAACCTATTGTTTTATGTATTGACAAAATCCTCACACATTGTGAATGCTTATGAGAAAGGCAAAAACATTGTTGTAAGTACTGTACATATATATTTAGTTTTAATTGAGATCTTGTTGAATTCCACAAGATCTTGTCTTCCAACACTGTTTATTACATTGCAGTAGGAAATTTGTCCTGAAGTTAAGCCACCAACATTAGTTTGTAGGACTGCAGAATTTCTCAGCACTGAAATTCCTTGTGCTTGCTTTCGGTAACTACAGCATTCTGTGATAGTGTATTTTGCTTGAAGTTTTGTTTTTGTTATCTTTTATTCTATTTCTATTGATATAAAAATAAGATGTGTCTTCAACAGTGAGCAAAAGCCATATCACACAGCAAGCTCTAAAAGGCCCCAAAATGACCTGTTTAAAAAAAACTCAAAGGAGAAAACAAACGGCCTGATTTATGTACAAAACAACAAATGAAAAACAAATATGATATAGAGCAACAAGTGACAACCACTGAATTATAGACTCTTGACTTGAGACAGGCACAAACAGAATGTGGTGGGGTTAAATAATTTAGTGGGTACCGAACCATTCCACTTACTGGTTTTCCTTTACTGATTTGTATTGTACATTCTTTTATGTATTTTTATTCACTGACTGAGGTTAAAGAAGGGGGTGGGTTGAGATCTAAACACTAATTTGACTATGTGGCAATAAATAGTGATAAAATCCTACTTTTGGTACGTTTAGATTCTAACATATATTTAGAGCTATTAATGTCCAATATAAAAATAAGAAGATGTGGTTTGATTGCCAATGAGACAACTCTCCACCAGAAACAATGACATTTCCTATGGTCACATATTGTTCTAATTTTATAAATTGAGGTTCAACAATTATTTTGATGAACAGTATAAGTGATGTTTTTGATTTTATACTGTGCAGACAATTAAAACATCTTACCACGACATCAAATTCAATATAAAAAGTATAAAAAGATTTATTTTAAGTAGAAGACATTGTAGTGTCTGTTTGAATCTAGATTTTTATGAACTCAAATTTTGTATCTAAATGATAGTGATCGATATAACTGCTGAAAATTTTTGGTTTTACTGATGCATAAGGGGTCATCAAATTTGTTTTTGGTCAGTAAATTATTTAAACGTTATATTGTTTGTAAAAATGGGAAATAAGATATCGCTTTGACCAGGCCACTTTTGCAACCATTGAAAGTATTTCATCTGATTAAATAATGCTGATTATAAAATTAAGCTAAAATGAACTGTTGTCCCTAAGATTTCACTGTGTGAAATTCTTGATTGATAAAACATAAAAAAGGATCAGAGGAATTGCCAAAAATACTGTCCTAATGACCACATCAACTACTGACACCAGAATCCCTTGAAAAAAAACAAACGTGCAAGCAAATACAGGCCAGCTAGGGACCACCTCCGGGTGTGGGATTTTCTCGATGCGTTTAAGACCCATTGGTGGCCTTCGGCAGTTGTCTGCTCTTTGGTCGGGTTGTTGTCTCTTTGACATATACCCCATTTCCATTCTCAATTTTAAATACAAACAACAATGACAGCACATGGTCCAGATAGACTGACTTTGTACAGGCACAAAATGTAGTTGTGTAAAGTCAGTTTTACATGTGCACAAACCTTCCCCTTTGCCAGTTTAGACCATATGTCAGTAGCAAACAAAATACATTTCTTTTATTGAAGATGAAAATGTCAATCTTAAAACCATCAACATAATACCCTACAAACAAATAATGCCTTCACAAAGAAAATTTATTTACACCCACGAAGATCAGTTGTATCACATAAACACCTTTTTTGTAGCAGAATAAATGTAGGACATTTGTCAGCAAGGTTATTACAAATGAAATTTACTCAATGACATAAATGCTTCCTAATATTCCATTATTTTTATTGGCAGGCATCAATCACCTAGAATCCAAAATTATGTTTTATTTCCCAATAAAATCCAACATCTATGACCTCTTCTTACAAAATGTGTGTCAGTCAACTCTTTTACACTAACAAAAAAATCACAAAAAGAGGCATTTAGTTCTTGAATAATGTGGTTACAAATGGCAAAAATTACAATTACAAGGACTGATCATTGACCAGAGGATAAGTTTTGTATGGTAATTTTATACATGGTATATATACCTCTTAGCTAAACAAATATTAGTAGTAAATTTCCTGTTACAGATGGGTTACATCAATGGTGAGAATAGTTTTTCAGAGGTGGAATTAGAATCAGCCAGAAGTAGTCTAATATTTGAGATTATAGAAGAGGAGAAAACAGTTACTAAAGTAGCTCAGCAGTCACTGTTGTCTTACTTCAGAGGGGTGGATCATAACTACAATAAGTAAGTTACCATAGTAACTGGACCATCTGTAAAAAAAAGTCTTTTTTAAGTTAATATGTATTGTACACCTATTTTTTGTGGAGCCTGCGACTTTTGTCGCAGAAAGCTTGACATAGGGATAGTGATCCGGCGGCGGCATTAGCCAACTTCTTAAAAGCTAATATTTCAGAAGGTAGAAGACCTAGTTGCTTCACACTTTGTATATAGATGCCTTATAATATGTAGTTTCCGTGTGTCATATGTCCATTGGCCTTGACCTCATTTTAATGGTTCAGTGACTACTTGAAAAAAAGTTAAGATTTTTTGTAATGTTGATTTCTTTCTTATTATGAGTAATAGGATAACTATATTTAGTATGTGCGTACCTTGCAAGGTCCTCATGCCTGTCAGACAGTTTTCACTTGACCTCGACCTGCTTAAGTTAGTTTGATAGGAACTACTTGTGATAGATCAATGATATTTTCTATAAAGTTGCATTACAATCAATACAGTCAGGATTCTACTTCGTCAAAATTATCTCCCCAAATTACGCCACCAAATTTTTTCAATCATAAAAATGGAAGCCATTGTAGGGATGACGCACTGTCAATTTAGCTCTTGAAAACCAATAAATTTATCCACATAGCATCATCATGGTCCTTATATGGCAGTTGTATTTAAAAGACAAATATATGTGCTAGCTATTAAGCATCGTTTAATGTACTTTCAACCCTATAGTCAACTTAAAACTATTGTCTGATTGGTTGTTGGGGGAATTTTTGAAAGTTAAAAAACACAAAAAAATAAATTCTAATTAAATATGTCATGGAAGGGCAGACTGTTTTGTGAAAATATGTCTTTAAGTTAAATGTTATCAAATATCTCAACACTCCATACTACAATTTAAGTAAAAACATGTACATAAGATGCTTAAAATCCTAAATTATGCACCTTAATTAAAATTTTAAAGCCCATAGAAACAGATGTAAACAATTCAAATATATCAACTTGGCCTTTTTTACCTTCTCTTATAAAAAATTCCATTTCTTTTGTTTGATTTCAACTGGATATCAGAGTGAGTTCATATCAGTTTGAAGGCTATTTCGAGGCACTGCTCCTAGGTCATAATCCATCGACTGTCAATTAATAAGCAATTTTCAATGTTAAGTTTTCTGCTTATTTTAAAGTCAGTTTGATAGGAACTACTTGTGATGGATCAATGATATTTTCTATGAAGTTGCATTACTATCAGTACAGTACATATCAGTTTGACAACTTTTTTTGAGGCCCTGCCCCCGTAAGTCATGGTCCAGTGACTTTCAATTAATTAGCAATATTGCTGTCCATCAAATTGTCTTTTTCTAAATTTCTGCCGACAGGCAAGATATATCTCTGTGTCAACAGAGATGTTATATAGGACCAGCTCTGGGTGCAGGATTTTCTCGCTGTGTTGAAGACCCATTGGTGGATTTGGGCTGTTTTCTGTTCTTTGGTCGGGTTGTTGTCTCTTTGACATATTCCCCATTTCCATTCTCAATTGTATATGTAAAAATAACTACTCCAGGCGGTAGATCACTCAGCTTGTGCCTCAATGAAGAGCTCAAGCTGAAAAAAAAATCATGATATAGAGGGCTCATTCTCGAATGCCAGTTGATGAAAAACATGATCACTGCTTTTGATTAAAGATGATTTTTGTTAATCTCTTTGATATATGAATAAAAGGAGATATGAGGCATCTAGAAAATACATACAAAGGATGGCAGAAGTCACAAAAACTCCTGGACAGCACAACAGACCACATCAAACACCAACATTAGTATTCTACTGGCTGAATTGGCTTGCAATATTTGCCACTGGACATTAAGCAAACAACAACCATAAAATCTAACTATTTTAGAATCATATATTTACTGTTTTTACAACTATCAAAAATAAATGTTTATTTGTAAATACTGCAGACATAATTGAGTTTGTGGAAAACATGATCTGTCAACTCCAGTTATAATTCCTTTTAATCAGTTTTAACACAACTTTAATAATTTTAAGATAACTTGAATAGTTTTTAAATAGTATACTCTTGTCTTTAGGGAAATGCTGATGAAAATAGCCGCAGTAACCATTGAAGATTTGAAGAGAATTGGTTCTACATACATTGCACCGCTATTTGATTCAGACAAAGTGAGAACAGCTGTCTGCTGCAATCCATCCAAAGTTAAAGAAACAGCAAATGATTTCAAGCAGTAAGTCTCCAGCCATTTTTAATTTGCTGTTATACTTGGTTTGTCTTCAAATTGTCACATGTTAAGATGTATTATGTATATATTGCTTTTTTATGACACTGGTGTAATTTTTTTAGAAGGAGTCCATCCTTCAATTATCTAGCAATGTTTCATGTTAGTGAAAAGACTTTCTTAAGGGAAAAATACTTAATGGGATCAGTGAGACGCTGATTGGGTGGAAAGGGACAGTTAGATATCACTGTATGGTCTTCAAAGATGAATAGGCTGAAACAGGAGGATGCACAAATTTAGGCCAAGTTGCATCGAAAAGTAATTGCATTTCAAATTCTCTCCAATTTGCCTCTAAGATGTAGAATCTATGTTCTTCAGTGGCCCAACAGACCATGTGACTTTTTGCCATCACTTCAGTTCAGTTTTGTAGTCTTTGTTGCTAGTTGTAACTTTTCTGAAAACATTTTCCTCTGAAACCATGGAACCAATTTCAATCTAACTTGGCCTGAATGATCCTTAGGGTATCATGAAAGTAAAAAAATTGTGTTTTTTGTTTTCCTGAGTAACCAACATGACTGCAAAAGCTGAAAATAGAATTTAAGAGTAAAATGCAAGTGTTTGTCTGATTATATGAAATAATGGTAGATAAATAAACTCAGACAGAAGTAATATGCACAGAATGTCAATTTCTACCATTTTACCTAAAAACTATAAGACAAATTCTTATTGACTTATTTGAGTTATTTCCCTTCAAAACTAAAGTAAATAAACAGACACTGTAACCAGCAGAAAGTATCAGAAATACAAAATCTACAATAATGTCAATATGACTGAAATATCAATTGACTCCTTTATAGGCAAATTCTAGCAGTTTTGTCTTTGAAAAAAATAATATATACTGTGGATTCATTTATTTTTTTGTGGATTGAGGAAAAAGGTGTTTTCGTGGATATTTGATTTCGCAGTTTCGTCAAAGTCTATAGATAATTGGCACTTAGTTGAACATCTTAGTTTGTGCATAAGCTATACCCACAAAATCCACAAAAATTTGTATCCAACAAATATAAATTAATTTACAGTATACAGAAAATGTAAATAGCAAAAATGACCAGTGATTCAAGATCTACAATATGCCAGATAACCAAAACTGTCAATGAACCACTTATAGGAGCAATTTTGTCTAAATGATAATTTTTGGCCAATTTTAATGTTTTTGACTATCATTTTGAAAACTGAAACAGAAACAGTTAATATTAGAAATGTTCACCAATACAATAAGTACAAATAGTTAATTTGTTTGAAACCATTAATTGAGTACACATTGAGTTAAAATATTACTCTTACGGTTAAGTAACAGTAAATGGACTTTGTCATAGATTTAGGTAAAATTTTGCATATAACTTAACCACGTTCAACTACCCGGTATAACTGAAAATCGAAAAAAAATAATGCTTATATCATTTTAGTTGTCTGAGATATCACTGATTGAATTCTTTCAAAATAGGTGAATATTTGTATAGAAAGCACATGAAATCGGCGAAAAACATTCTTAAATTTGTCTTAAATCATCAAATCTCCAATTTCAAGTCCATAGATTTTTCGTAAAAAAAACCATATGTTGTAGGTACATATATTTCCGTTTTAATGATGTATAATAATAATGGGGTCGCCGACTTAGTTTTTAGGGTAAACATCATTCAAAGTAGTGGTCTTGGTCTGGGTGAAAAAATACCACAAAATGTAGAAATAAGCCTAACGTTGTGTTGTTGGCCTTAAATCGTTGATTTTTGATGTTTTTCACTACCAACTAGATAACAATTTGCTATATACACCAAAACCAAGTCAGTGACCCTTTGATTATTTTATATCATTTAAAGAGGAATTTATATACCAACAACATATAGTGTTCCTATAGTTTGGAGAATGGCACCAAATTGTAAGGAATTGTCATTGTCTGAGACAACCATATGTGGATGCCGTCTTAAGCTTGGAATTATCTTCAATTTTGACATAAGTCTGTACATCAAAACTCCATTCTAATAAGATATTATCCAAATTTGAAGCGTACAAGTAATTGCACAACCTTCATCTTGAGAGTGTTAGTTTGTATGACATCCTGTTGTGACATGACGTTAATGCGCCAATATCATTGATGAAATTTTGCAGAGATTTTTTTATGCCCCACCTAGGGGCATTATGTTTTTCGGTCTGCGTCCGTTCTTCTGTTTGTCCGTCTGTACGTCCATCCATCCATCTGTCTTTTTTGATCAAGGTAGTTTTTGATAAAGTTGAAGTGCAATCAACTTGAAACTAAGTACACATGCTCCCTATGATATGATCTTTCTAATTTTAATGCCAAATTAGAGTTTTGACCCCAATTCATGGTACTAAATATATATAAAAATCAATAATTTGATCATGCTGTTGTTTACAAAGTAAAAGCAGAACATCTTATTAAAAATTAGTTGTGAATTCAAAATTTAGTGTGTTTATTAAGGGCTATTGTTTATCACAAGACACATATGCAAGATTAATTATTGCAATTTCAGAACATGTTGCATACGCATAATACTATCTAAATTTCAAATGTTAGTTTGTAATTATGTGAAAAATAAACCATAGCAATTTTCACACAATAATTTCTGAATTTACAGTATACAGCCATTAAATTAAAGAAAAATAGATAATAAATTTCACTGATGAAGTGACATGCCAATACATTTGTTATAGAAAGTAGTAAAATCTATTAATATTTTTTATTTTACAGATTTGGAGTAAATCTGACAGTCCTTGATTCTTTAGAGGAGGATTTTCTTTGTGGACTTTAAATTCATTCTAATGGAAGTTAAAATTTGTTGACAGTTAAAAATAAAAGTTCTCTTTTAATTCTGATATTTATGTTGCACACACTACAGAATTCCAGCTCATGTGAAACTAAGACAAGGATGCATCTATAAGGGTCCTGTGAAAATGTAGTAATGAAACCCATGTGAAAAAAAAGATAATTCCCAATGAACACATGAAATTGTGTAAACAGGATGTGTTGACATGCTATAAATGAATGAAAGGTGAAATGATTTACTGAAATGCACCTATTCACTGTAATATTCTCAATGATTCAATGAAATGCACAAATTCCCAGTAATATTCTCACGGTTTGATTATCTATTCAAAGAAGACTGCATAGGAAGGATACATATATCATATATCATGTTTATGCTCTACCTATGAAACTAGGGGGCATTATGTTTTCTGGTCTTCACAATATCGGTATGTTTTCAATCCATCCTAAATCAAGTTAAAGTTTTTGGTCAAGGAAGTTTACCATAGAGTTGTGGTCACATAAACTTGAAACTTAGTACACTTGTTCTTTATGATGTGAACTATTAAAGTTATATGCCAACTGAGGATTATGAACCCCCGTTTCAAGGTTCACTGAACATAAAAAATATAGTGAGAAAGGGGCCTTGTGTCTAATTGAGTCAGATTCTTGTTTAAATATTTTTTCAAAGTATTAATCAAACCACAGAAGGTATAATGATGGACATAGAGGGCTATCATGGTGGACATAAATTGTATTGCCGCCATTTATCAGAGTATGTCCCAGGTTGTACTGTAAATAAGATCTGCAAATAAACAACTGTGACAGATTGCAATAATCTATTTTTTCCTTTATCGCAATCAGTAATGTTAAAAATTCGTAAGGGTTCCGCGGAACCCAGTGTCTCGCCTACTTTTTCTGTTAATCGCAGGCTCAACAAAAATGAGGAAGTAAATCAATAAAAATATTCCTCTTGATACTATCTTTTGATTGAAAGAAGCTTCTGTCCAAGTTTGGTAAAATTCCAGGATAGTTTATGAATCTAATAAATGTTTAAAAACTTTAACTGCAGACTGAATGTAATGTTAACTGGAAGAAAACAAAATTTCCCTCTAGATACTAGCATTTGATCATAAACAAGCTTCTGTCCAAGTTTGGTACAAATCCAAAATAGTATAAGAAAGTTATTAAAATTTTAAAAACTTTAACCACAGAGTGAATATGTTGTTTCCTGGCAGAAAATCTAAGTCCATTTAAAAGTAATATACGGAAAAAATGGATTTATCTTTTTACAAAATTTCCTTCTAGATACTATCTAATGATCATAAACAAGCTTCTGTCCAAGTTTGGTACAAATCCAAAATAGTATAAGAAAGTCATTAAAATTTTAAAAACTTTAACCACAGAGTGAATATGTTGTTTCCTGGCAGAAAATCTAAGTCCATTTAAAAATAAAATAAGGAAAAAATGGATTTATTTTTTTACAAAATTTACTTCTAGATACTATCTTATGATCATAAACAAGCTTCTGTCCAAGTTTGGTACAAATCCAAAATAGTATAAGAAAGTCATTAAAATTTTAAAAACTTTAACCACAGAGTGAATATGTTGTTTCCTGGCAGAAAATCTTAAGTCCATTTAAAAGTAAAATAAGGAAAAAATGGATTTATTTTTTTACAAAATTTACTTCTAGATACTATCTTATGATCATAAACAAGCTTCTGTCCTAGTTTGGTACAAACCCAGGATAGTTTAAGAAAGTTATTAAAATTTTAAAAACTTTAACCACAGAGTGAATGTAATATTTCCCGGCAGAAAAACTAAGTCCATTTATAAGTAATATACGGAAAAAATGGAATTTTATTTTTACAAAATTTACTTCTGGGTACTATCTTATGATCATAAACAAGCTTCTGGTCAAGTTTGGTACAAATCCAGGATAGTTTAAGAAAGTTATTAAAATTTCAAAAACTTTAACCACAGAGTGAATATTTGTGGACGCCGCCGACGACGACGACGACGCCGACGGAATGTAGGATCGCTATGTCTCGCTTTTTCGACTAAAGTCGAAGGCTCGACAATAATAGTGGATTCGGGTTGTGGGTTTCTGTTTCCAAGATACAAAATAAGCCAAAACCAGATTTTAAATTTGAATTCTGCCTGTCTGTGGTTTATAATCTGATTTGAGCTCTAAAGCTGTTTTGTTAACTATATAAGGTTTATTAAGTAAGTTTAGAGATTAGATTAATGGTCAATCATAGATTATTTATGAAAATTTGGAATGAAAAGTTCTTCCATTGAATTCAAACATTGGTTTTGCAAAGCTGATTTTTTTGAGCTTTTAATGTTTCTGAGGTATAAGGCATTATGTGCTGCTGGCCTCCTTGCGACTTTTAGAATAGCAATTAAGTGTTTTTTCCGTTTCTTTGGGCTCTGTCATAATGATATGAAGGGTTTAAAACTCACTTGGCCAAAAGGGCCTGATGACCTTATGCCATCACTTTGTGTCCATCGTCTGTCTTATGTAAACTGTTCTTAAAAATCTTCTCTGAAACTGCTCAATTCATTGAAACCAAATGTATATAGTTTGTGATTTTCGTTCAGGTTGATGAACGAAAACGTTTGCCAAGTCTAAAAATAGGGGTAGAACAACAGTTTTTGCTAATATCTCTAAAACTATAGAGAAAAACTGACAAGGGTAAAAAAGTTAGCATAACAAGTTCTACCTGCTATGAAATTTTGGAAAAAAATTGTCCACCTTTTTGGAGTTATGCCCTGAAGTGTTGATTTTTTTTTTACTTTTTTGGTATTTTCCTTGCCATTGTTTCAAAAACTATAGGAGTAAAATAAAGTGAAAAATGCAAAACTAATCAGCATGACAAGATGAATCCACCCTTCAATTATAAAAACTATAGGTGGTAGATTAAGAGTGTAAATTGCAAAGAGGATCAGCACAACTAGATGTAAATACTCAAAAATGATTGGAGAAAATAGATGGACTTGTTTAGGTGTTATTGCCCATAAAATATCCATATTTTGCATTTTTGGCTGTTATGAAAAATATATGCTAGATTAAACATGTTAATTGCAAAAATTATCAGCAACACGAAGAGTAACTATAGTATGTGCATATAAAAGTCCTTATTAGCAAACTCGGAAATGTTGAACCTGGTGAGCGATACAGACAGAGGTGTGCCTCTTGTTATGTCATGAATGAATAACCATATAACCGTACTTTATGATGAAAATGATCTGTCGTTATCATAAACCAGTTAATTTGGTAGCTCAAGATACATAAATTGTATAATATGAATGACGGCAGCATTGTTATACAGAAGTTAACTAACTTTTTTCGGGTTTAAATAAGAGTGCCAAAGTTTCTTCCTTTTACTCAAAATACCGAACTGGTCAGTAGACTTGGTATGTCAGGAAAATTGTGCTACTTACTTGTTTTTAATTCTCTTTCAACTTCTGGTTGAATAGTACCTCTGATTTAGCAACAGCAGCAATACTGAAACATTGGCATCTGGGTGAATGGTACCGCTGATTATGCAACAGCCGCATTACTGAAACATTGGCTGCTGGTTAAATAAAACTTCCGGATAATGATTATCCAACAGCAGCAATACTGAAACAATGGCTTCTGAGTGAATGGTACCTCTGAAGACTTATTGTCCAACAGCAGGAATACTGAACAATTGGCTGCTAGTGGGAATGGTACATCCGGAGACTGATTACCCCCATAGTAGTAATACCGAAACAATGGCTGCTAGAATGAAGATACCTCCGTTGATCAATTATCCAACAGCAGCAATACCAAAACAGTGGCTGCTGGGTGAATGGTACCTCCGGAGATTGATTAAACAGGAACAGTAACAATTCAATGTTAGTAAAAACGTAAACTAATGATTAATAAAGTGATATTTACAAAATATTTATTGTTATACTGTATTGTATCTATGTATATATTTATATTAAACGATACAATCTTCAAAGTTGTTTGGTCCGATTAGAATAAAAATTCATGTCCAAGTATTTTTTCTGCTGAATATACTCTGATTGTTTTTTTACTTATCTTCCCTGATAAGCCCTATTTAGGTTTATTGTTTTCATGCTTCTTCCAAACCACCTGGTGAGGAGCCAACCATTCTTGTGAGAGAATAAAAAATCTCTTTAAAGAGAATATCATTAAAAGTTCAGTAGGAATAATCTAAATTTTTGTAGCTTCGAGTATATGAATTTCAATGCATTTTGAAGACAAACAAACAACAGATTATTTATCACAAATAAAGGTGCACAAAAGGAGCAGATTAATCATGACAATGTAATCAATTATTTTCTGGACAACAATTTTGTTCGTTTTTAGATAAAAAATAAAACCTATTTTCAAATCTATAATATTTTCAAATATCTGTGAAAACAATGTCGTTTCATGTGAGGCCTTTAATTAATTAATTTCTAAATCTCTGACAGAAAATGTGTAAACGGCTTGACAATGGCCTTTCCATTTCTGCTCTACATCTCAACACCACAATAATAATTCGGCATGTTTCAAAACCTCATTGCAAGTTAAAGGAAGTTTGTAGAACTGCTTTTGTGTATCAGTCTTGGCTAGATGCCAATATCGCCACATATGTGCACTAAGGCGAACAGATGCCGTGTAATATCAACATATAACTAACTTAAACGGACAATGAAATCTGACAAAAATAGTCGTGTATAGACAGAGGGTGTACTTAATACACGGTATAAGTAAATGATGCAGTTAGTTTAAAAGAGAAATTTACTTCAATGGATAGAATTATGCTTGTCTCTTAAGTTAGTTGACACTTTTTTTACTTTCAAGTAAAATTATGGCATATGGATTTTTGCTGCTATTAAAACTTGTCTTTCTGTCTGTCTAACATTAACATCACTGTCGGATTTTCTTGGTTGTCTTGAAAGACGGATGCCAAGAAAAATGATTTTTAAACATATGTCTTTCCTCTCAGCTTATCGTTAATAAAGATATCTTTCCTCACAGCTTATCGTTAATAAGGGTATTTGTTCTTCCTAACAAAATTCCGTCCGTGTATTCAACAACAAACCACACAATTAATTTTGAGTATGTGTTCGTTAATCTATCAGTAATGCTATATACACAGAAAACAAACATTTTCTGACGAGCAAAATGAATGAATTTACCATGAATCTATCACGATTTGTTTGAATTACTGAGTATTCATATTAGATTTCCTTTATTTATACCGTTTCTTAATTCTTTTTAATGTTAAGATAAGGAAATATGGTATGATTTCCAATGCGACAACTATCCATTTGTCCACATGACGTTGATTTAAGCCACTATAGGTCACCGTACGACCTTCAACAATAAACACCCCCATACCGTATAGTCAGCTATGAAGCCCAACACGACAACATGTTACTATAGTAATTATTGAGTGTTTTCGTTAATGGCCCTGTTATATTAGGCGGTCATTAATATGGTCAATAAGAAATCAACCATTTCTTAATACATTTATAAATCAACTAAACAGAGGAAATATTGTATTAGGGGAAAACAGTGCCTATAACAGCCAACAGGGCATTATTTCGATGCCATTATGGATAAAACCTGTTCTTATGACTTTTTCAAACATTTAATATCAAACAAATAGCTTCATTTACATTAGATAGTTGAAAGTAGTAATAACTACAATTCACAGTATATTTTTACATTCAAACTTCTCATGTAAACTTGTGAATATATATCCTCAAATCCAAGGAAATTTATTGACATAACTGGTAAAGATTATACTTAATCCAGGGATAAGCTGTTTTTCTCAACAGGTGATATTTAAAATACTGGACATGAAAGAGCTGAATGCGAAATAAATATAAAAACATTTCTGAAGTTATTTTTATTCGACAAATGATTATAGATTCGAGTAAAGTGGTCCATGAAAACATCATGCATTTTGAGTCGTTTCGTAATAACTGGTTTTATTCATAAAGGACCGCCGTTAGCCCTGTTGACTGTAAAAGGCGCTGTTTGTATTTTAGTCAAATCTGGGCATTTAAGCAATAATTTACTTTGTTGATTAACAAATTTTAATATTCACAAATAGATTTGAAACATTGGTTACTTTAGCCTTTTGAACGCTTCGGGAGAATGCCTGTGGTGTGCAATGAACAAATTTTATGGAGTTTTTGCCTCCTGTGTAAAACAGTTTCATTTGTTTTTCGTTGTGTTTCAAACCTCAAACAACTTGTGAGACCTGCATAATAATTTACATCTCGGAACTTGCTTTTTATAAGGATTTTATTGTAATTTTGTTCCTTATTTGTTGTTTTCCATTTTTCTTCCATATGACCTTTATCTACGACTTGATGAATAGCACGAACAGTTTTAGAAAAGTCGATAGTACTAAAATTTAACATTCTTGCATGCAACAATAAAAAGTTATCATATGCCACCCGACCTATCACCAGATCAGGTAAAACGTCCCATGGATAAGATGGGTCAGTGAAAAAATAGTCCTCAGCATCTGAACGGAAGAGAATCCCTCGCTTTTTCGATACATGGATTAAGGACTTAAACGATCCAGCTTCTTCTGTGCTTACATTTGCAACATCTGTCCTTCTTCCTGTAGCCATGGTATGTGTATAGTTAAACCTGGAGTTGTTTTTAAGAAATTGAAGGTTTTCCGTTAATTCATTTGTAAATAAAATATCAGAGTTTGCAAATCCTATGAACGAAGCATTATAACGTTTGGTCACTGCCATGTACATGAACTTAAGGATGGGTGTACCTGATTGGGAAACGTATTCTACAGGCAAAACATCCCAACCCGCTTCTGTAAACTCTTCTTCTAACTGAGGACTGTTTGTGAATAATACTGATTTCACGTTTCTACCAAGGGAAGGCCAGTTTCGTTTTGTATTGTTATGAACAACAAACCTTTTTGCTGATGGCACAAATGACGTAAAAATGACGTAATCATATACAACAGATGTTTCAAAAGCATCTGAGTATAAATCCCATATAAATTTACGATGCTTGTTGTTTATCATATATTTGGCAAGGATAGTGTCCTTTTTAAAAATGCTGACTAAATATTCCAGGGACCTGCTCCATTTTAAGATAGGTATACGGATTACTATTCCATTCAAAATAAAACAAAACACAAATAATGCAAAAGTCATCTTTTGAAGTGTAGTGTTCCATGCCATCAGTCTGCATCTGAAACTATACAGAAATACACAGAATTACACAACATAGTATCATGTATCTGGCAAAACATTTCGGAATTTTGGTTCCACAATGCTCTTCAACTCGAACTTTATTCGGTCTTTTAGATTTTTTTGAATCATGCGTAACTAAATAGTCTTTTGTAGACGATACACGCGTCTGGCGTACAAAATGTAAACCTGGTATCTACATTATCTATGATCAGTTTATTTATATCTTTGTGGAGCAAGTATTTAATTACTAGAACTATATATCAATGAAACATCGATTTCAGAGTGCTAAATTTTGAAAAACATATGAACTCAAGACGATATTAAGTTCGTCGATCAGGAAAGTATTGTTGAAGATTAAAACTCAGTTTCAATCGGAATACTATGTAATTAGATAAGATGCTAGGTATTCCTAGTTCTCGATAAAAACCAACAAAATAAATCGATCAAGAAGGGGATAGATACGATAAACGATGCATATCTATCTATAAATCTATTTACAACCCTTTAAACGAATGGAACATAGCAGTTGTTTAGAATGCACAGCAAATGTAATGTTCGTGTTTCCGGGCAAAAATTGAAAAATATTACAATTTTATCGAAACAAGCTGTGTCTCAGGTTACAAAAATGAGAATCATCAAGGCACTAGTTGTAAATTAAACCTGTTCCTAACTGTGCCAGTACCATTTAGATATACATAAAAAGAAACAAGATAAAAGAAGAATATGTCCATGGGACACAAGATGCCCCCGATTGTAAATATGCAAGAGTCAATGTACTAATTTAAAACTATTGACGTTTTGTTTTCTGTCCAACTTGATAAAGGAGGATAAAACAAGAACGGTGATATTTTCATAACATTTGGTTTAAGTAAAGTTAAAGGGCGGTAAGGCAAATTTGTCAATTTTTTCCATTTATAAAGGTAAAATACTCGAGAACGGTGAAAGTAACGCCACCCAAATTCAATCTTGATCTGTGTTTGGTGGTAATAGGCATTGTTTATAAGTATCAGAACATTTGGTTGTGGCTAAGTAAAGTTAGAGTGACGAAACAACAAATTCAGCATTTGTTCATGAATAAATGTACATATCTCAAGAACGGTGAAAGTGACGCCACCAAAATTCAAACTTAATCTGTGTTTGGTTGAATAAGCATTGTGTATCAGTTTAATAACATTTGGTTGAGGCAAACTAAAGTTAGAACCAATTTCGAGTCTATGTACGTACGGACGTATGGACGTAGAGACGAACAATGGGTAAACCTTAATCCCCTTTCGCATAGCGGCGTGGGCATAAAAAGTCAAGCAAATGTAGGCCAAACAAGTATTCGAATTAAACTCATTTTTGGAAGAGAGTTTTAAAGCATGGACGGAATTAAAAAAGAAACTTTTTTCAATTGATGAAAAATATTTCTGTGACAGACTCTTTTTGGGAAAAGGAAAATAGGAAAATAGGTATTACATCTTTATCTCTTAAGACTAAGCAGAAATGTTATTTAACACCACAAAAATTTCAATACTGTTTTCAATATAAAATAATACATAGAATTTTAGACTTTTTAAAAATTCAAAATTAAGATGAAACAAACAAACAAATGTATTTTCTGTTTTGAAGTTGCTTGAGATAATGAGCACATATTTTGAACATGTCATACAATATCAGAGTTATGGTGAACACCGAATAAAAGTATTTATAACCGATTACAAATAATAATCCAATTGGATGTCAAAGAATGTTCTTTAAAAAAAGCCACTTTACATGGCCAACATCTGCTTGGACCACTGGTTTCTTATACTATAATGTTTTTACTATCACATTTTAATTTCTTGTTAGAGGACATATTTCCTAATTTACATCACCACGTTTTATTTTGGCAACAATTTCATTTTTTGTTTTGTTTCGTTTTTGCTTTTTCGTATAGTTTACATTCATAATTCGCTGTGCATATGAAGTTTTCTTCATCATTTTACTTGATGTCTAGGGAATATTTTTTTTTATCGATTTCATTTTTTCTTCTTATAATGTAGCATTTGTATATAATTAGACTTAATCCATATCTCAGATTAATATCTTAGATATAAAAATAAATCGTACTTATCTTACAAATGTCGAGTGATATATTCATAAAGTAAAATGTTAAACCTAAAAATAATGATTCAATACAAAAGTCGGAACCACCCTAACATAAAATGTAACAAATAAATCACGAATACCATTTTTGTATACAAGTACTTGTACTGATAATAGTTTTAGATACAGTATAAGTACATCATTGCCCTTTAATTATATCTAAGCATATATATAGGTAACAGCTGTAATAATTTTGTAAAAAAACAGCATTTCAATATTAGATATATATATAGTCGAATAAAAAATATAAATACATCTTCATGAATTTATAAAAATATAAAAATATATAAAAATATCACTCCACAACTGTGAATCGAGAACAAAGTCATGGAGTAATATCAATAAAATAAATCTGGCAAAGAAGTCAAATATGTACTGTCAAAACTTAGCCCGACCATCACACTGAAGCGTACAAAAACAATTCAAACATTTAGACAACCATGGGGCACGTCGAGGTATATGTTAGATAACTTGGCAGGAAATAACGTATGTATAGGCCAAATATGTCTGATAGACTATGTATTCCTTTGATCCATACCATTCATACGGCTAACTACAAAATGACAAGCCCTATTTAGGTTTAATGTATTCATGCTCCTTCGAAGTGATTTTTTTTTGCTGCTATTAAAACTTGTCTGTCTAACATTAACACCACTGTCGGATTTTCCTGGTTGCCTTGAAAGACGGAAGCCAAAAAAATGAGTTAAAACATATGTTTTTCCTCACAGCTTATCGTTAATAGAAGTATATGTTCTCCTCAAAAGATTCCATCCATGTACACATACAACAAACATTTAATGATGAGAAACATGAAACGATTTTCAATTAATCTATCACGATTTGTTTGAATCACTGAGTATTAATATTAGTTTTTTCCTTTATTTATAACTTTTTTTAATTCTTTATAATGTTAAGATAAGGAAATATGGTATGATTTCTAATAGACAACCATCCATTTGTCCAAATGACGTGCATGTAAGCCACTACAGGTCACAATACGACCAATGAGCAAAACCCATACCGTACAGTCAGCTGTGAAGACCGTCACGACAACATAATACTATTGTAATTATTTGGTGTTTTCATAATGGCCCTGTTATATGAGGCGGTCATTAACATTGTCGATAAGAAAACACCCATTGCTTGATACATTTATAAACCAATTAAATAGAGGAAATATTGTATAGGGGAAACAGTGCCTATTACATCCAACAGGGCATTATTACGGGGCCATTATGAATAAAACCAGTTCTTATGTCTTTTTTCAGACGTTTAATATTAAACAAATAGCTTTATTTACATAAATTACTTGAAAGTATTAATAACTACAATTCACACTTTATTTTCACATTCACGTTCGTTAAATAATTTACCTGACATGAAAGAGTTGAATGAGAAATAAACATAAAAATATTTCCTGAACTTACTTTTATTCGACCAATGAGTATAGACTCGAGAAACGTGGTCCATGAAAACTGGCAGTCATCATGCATATTGAGTCGTTTCGTAATAATTATAGAATAACTAATCGAAGAATTAAAATAGAGAAAAATATTCAACGAGTGATCGAACATGCCAAGAAACCCTCGCTCAAAACTCCGGTGGACCTCATACGGCACCCATTAGTAGATAAAGATTTGATTTCATTCAATAAATTAGATTATGACCTGCATATACGTGTCGCTTAGAACACGGCAATGTACCAAATGGTCAATATTAATCATCCGTGTAATTTATTCTATGGGATGTTTGCAAACTTTCAACGGAGGCAATTTCTTGGCATGAACACATTAATTCACGAATACGCGTAGCGCATGAGTTAATTATCGGTGTTGTTCGGTCACGAGTTGAATATTTTTCGATATTTTAATTCTTTGATTAGTTATTTTTTTTATTACATTGACAATGGGATTTTTAGTGGAATTAAAGTAGAAAATGTAAGGAACTATATCTTTTTCTACGCATTCACAGTTGCAATGTCTTGGCAACATTCATTGTTGTTTGACGTCAGAGGAGTGAAATAACCGAGTTTATTTTACATGTGAAATTATCGGTTTTTTTATTTTACTGTGAAATTACGGTAATTCATTGCAAGCAATGCGATAACTGGTTTTATCCATAAAGGCCCCGTAATAATGCCCTGTTGGCTGTAAAGGGCACTGTTTTGATTCTAATTAAAACTGGGCTTTTAAACAATAATTAAATTCGGTGGTTAATATTATTTTTTATTCACAAACATCTTTGAAACATTGGTTACATTAGCCATTTGAACGCTTCATGAGAATGCCTGTGGTATGCAATGAACAAATTTTATGGAGTTTTTGCCTCCTGTGTAATACAATTTCATTTGTTTTTCGTTCTGTTTCAAACCTCAAACAACCTGTTGTACCTGCATAATAATTTACATCTCGGAACTTGCTTTTTATAAGGATTTTATTGTAATATCGTTCGTTATTTGTTGTTTTCCATTTGTCTTCCATATGACCTTTATCTACCACTTGATGAATAGCACGAACAGTTTTAGAAAAGTCGATAGTACTAAAATTTAACATTCTTGCCTGCATGAATATAAAGTTGTCATATGCCACCCGACCTATCACCAGATCCGGTAGAGCGTCCCATGGATAAGATGGGTCAGTGAAAAAATAGTCCTCAGCATCTGAACGGAAGAGAATCCCTCGCTTTTTCGATACATGGATTAAGGACTTAAAAGATCCAGCTACTTCTGTGCTTACATTTGCAACATCTGTTCTTCTTCCTGTTGCCATGGTATGTGTATAGTTTAACCTGGAGTTGTTTTTAAGAAATTGAAGGTTTTCCGTTAATTCATATGTAAATAAAATATCAGAATTTGCAAATCCTATGAACGAAGCTTTATAACGTTTAGCCACTGCCATGTACATAAACTTAAGGATGGGTGTACCTGATTGGGAAACGTATTCTACAGGCAAAACATCCCAACCCGCTTCTGTAAACTCTTCTTCTAACTGAGAACTGTTTGTGAATAATACTGTTTTCACGTTTCTACCAAGGGAAGGCCAGTTTCGTTTTGTATTGTTATGAACAACAAACCTTTTCGCTGATGGAACAAATGACGTAAAAATGACGTAATCATACACAACGGATGTTTCAAAAGCATCTGAGTGTAAATCCCATATTAGTTTACGATACTTTTTGCATACCATATCTTTGGCAAGGATAGTGTCCTTTTTAACAATACGCACTAAATATTCCAGGGACCTGCTCCATTTTAACATAGGCATACGGATTACTATTCCATTCAAAATAACACAAAACACAAATAATACAAAAGTTAATTTTTTAAATGTAGTTTTACATGCCATCAGTCTGCATCTGAAACTATACATAAATACACTGAATAACACAAAATATTATCATTTATTTGGCAAATATTTAGGAATTTTTGTTCCACAATGCTCAACTTCGTAATTTATTTTACCCTTTCAACATTTTGTATTCGAGCGATACTGATGAGTCTTTTGTAAATGTATTAATTAGCTACGATGCAACGTAATCCTAGTTCTCGATAAAAAAAAACAAAAAAACACCGAAATCATCGATCAAGAAGGGGATAGATACGATAAACGACACAATTCTATCTATGTGTGGAAATTAGATCTATTTAAAACCTACATGTATAAAGAATCGAAATATACTCATCATAATAGAGCTAAGGTTATCTACTCCTTAGTAAAAAAAAACTTAGTATTTCAAAAATTTAAAGTTTTGTCGACAGTTAATTTATAATTATGACCATATCAATGATAATTCATGTCAACACAGAACATAGCAGGTGTTTAGAATCCACTGCAAATGTAATTTTTGTGTTTCTTGTCAAAATTTTAGATACGGCTTGAAAGATTCTTCTTCAATCATTTTCAAAAGAGAAAAAGTCATCAGTAAATATGGTCATATATTAGAAGAGAAAAAAAAGTTGTAAGAGGCTTAATACTAAGTTTAGTTCGAATAATATACATCTAAATAATGAAATTCCCGATATGATGCGGGCGATCAATGCATGCATAGCCAGGAGACGCTTACCCTGTCGACGCGACCTATTCACTCGTTTTGAAGTTCTTGTGATTCTTTCAGCTTTTTTGCTACCCTGATTTGTCTTCTTAATCGATTTATGAGATTAGACCATCGATAAAGAACTGTTGCCTTAATTGATATAAACAAAATTAATGATAGCGTAAAAGAATCTTTGAAAGGTGAGATCACTTAAATATAGTGAATTAACAAAGGTTTTGCAAAGAATGAAATATATGCTAAGCCCTGAATCAGATTGTTTTTTGAATAAATCTTTTCGATAAATATATGAAAATTCGCTTTCAGATCTATTATTGATGGTTATAAAATTTGAAATTTGTCAATATGACAAAGAAACATTATCATATCTTATATGCCAAAGGAAAATAAACAAAGACAGTTCATGATTATCAAGGTTATCGAACATCACATAGCCTAGCACATTATCAAAAACAGCGATCAAACAGGTTTCATTCCTGGTAGATATGTTTGTAGAAGCAATTAATCGTCTCATATAAGATATTTTATTCTATAGAGAATTGAATGACATGCCAGGTCTTCTCCTTCTCGTGTAAAAATGCTTTTGATAGAGTATCATTGTATTTCTAAACAAAATATTAGACATTTGCTTAATTTTGACCCCTTTCTTAAACACTGGATAAGGACCTTGTACACAAATATTAGTTCAGCGTTTTCAAAAACTTTTTCTGTCTGAATTATTTGAGTTCAAGAGAGATTGTTGATAAGGTGATCCTTTATCTCCGAACAATGTCCCCTTATGTGTAGACATTCTTGGAAAATTAATTAAAAAAAAGGAATTAAAGGAATTCAAACAGATGATGCAGAATATTTTATCTCCCCATATGCAGATGAAAATTCAATAAAACTTGACGGTTCATCACAATCTCTGGATGCATCATTTCGCTTACTGTAAAAGAATGCTGATTTTTTGGGTCTCAGTATAAACTTGGACACGACGAAGTTTTGGAAATTATGTGTTTCAATTGGGGACATGAGATGGGTTCCAACAAGTTTAAAATATTAAACATACACTGTTCTGTCTACTTGCAAGGAATGGAATTTTGAACCATAATCTAACACAATCTAACAATAAAGGAAATTGAAAATATATTACACTTTGGTCTAAACAAGTTGTGTATCAGGTTAAATAAATATGAATCATCAAGACACTAGTCATTGTAAATTAAACATGTGCAAAACTGTACCCACACCATTTAAAAATGCATAAAAAGAAAAAAAGATAAAAGAAGAATGTGTCCATGGGACACAGATGCCCCTGATTGTGAATGTGCAAGAGTCAATGTACTAATACGTTTTGTTTTCTTAGAAAATTGATAAGGGAGCATAACACATTTATAAATGGACATAACTCATAACTCAAGAACGGTGAAAGTAACGCCACCCAAATTCAAACTTTATCAGTGTTTGATGGAATAAACATTTTACTCTTAACAACAATCATAAAAATCCTATTTCTCGTATCAAACATAAACTAAAAGAACTAGCCAAGGAATTTGTTTTTGTCCCGGCTGATAAAGCTGCTAATAATATCATTGTAGTTTGACGTAAATTTTACATTGAGGTTCTGCAAAAGGAAATCACGAATTCACCAACATTCCAACTGACTTCATTTTCAGAAAACGAGATCTGTAACAAACATAAACTTTTAGCTACTTCTTTACAAGCAGAACCAAATACAATGACAGTCCCAACTATATACTGGCTTCCGAAGCTACACAAATCACCTTACAAATATAGATTTATTTCGTCTTCAAGTCATTGTTCCACTACTAAATTGTCTATTCTACTTAATAGTACACTTGGTACAATCAAAAACCTGATGATAAATTGTTCAAATAAGGCCTTTGAAAATAGTGGAATTAACTACTTTTGGAGTGTCAAAAACTCGTTGGAAGTACTTGATAAATTGCATGTATATATTGGTGATTTTGAATCTGTTCAAAGTTTTGATTTTTCTACCCTATATACCACTTTGCCTCATATTCTTATTAAGAAAAAATTCACCTACCTAATTAAATGGGCATTTAAAAAGTCGGAATGCGAATACATATGTTCAAACTCTTTTAGGTCATTTTTTAGTAGCAACAAACAAAAGAGCTATGTCAATTGGACATGCTTTGATACTATATCTGCCCTTGAATTTTTACTTGATAACATTTTTGTTCGCTTTGGAGATTCCGTATATCGTCAAGTTATCGGAATTCCAATGGGGACTAACTGTGCACCACTTATTGCGGACCTGTTTTTGTATTGTTATGAGTTACAATTTATGACTGAAATCAGCAAAGACCCATCGAAACAACATCTGATACAAAAATTTACCAATAATTTTAGATATTTGGATGATATATTGGCTCTCAATAATGACGACTTCAGTATGTATACTAAAGAAATTTATCCTGTTGAACTTACTTTAAATAAAGCTAATACTAACAATGACCACTGTCTTTTCCTCGATCTTGATATCTATATCATTAACGGGAAGCTTAATACAAAAATTTATGATAAAAGAGATGATTTTTCATTTCCTATCGTTAATTATCCATTTTTAGATGGTGACGTTCCCTTGTCACCATCTTATGGTGTTTATATATCTCAACTTGTACGATTCGCTCGTGTATGTAACAACGTATTAGATTTTAGCGAGAGAAATTTATGTATTACTGAAAAATTATTACACCAGGGTTTTCGATATCATAAACTAGTCAAAACATTTACTAAATTTTATCATCGGTATAAGGACATCATTCGTAAATATAACTCAACATGCAGACATCTTATACGTTCGGGTATTTCACATCCAATCTTTTATGGTAATATTCTTTACAAAGCACAAAAATGTCAGTATTCACCTCAAAAGCTAACAAAACCTTTAAACAGACTTATTAAGAAGGGATATAGTTACGATACTGTTGTCAGGTCATTAAAGATTGCATATTTTGGCGTTAATATTGATTCACTTATAGGGTCTTTGCATCGGAATTAAACATATTTATTCTAAAACCAGTTGTTGGCATGACACGGGTTATGTTCTTGTCATATATTTATGATGGTATAATACTAAACCCCTAACAGGAGGGATTGTGCCTGATATTCATATGATGAAGACATAATCTTTCAATCAGTTTAATTGAGGTCTGGAGCTGGCATGTCAGTAACAGCTAGTAGTCTGTTGTTATTTATGTATTATTGTCACATTTTGTTTATTTTCTTTTGTTTCCTATTCTGACATCGGACTCGGACTTCTCTTAAACTGAGTTTTACTGTGCGTACTGTTGTACGTTTGATTTTTCTACATTGGGTAGAGGTATAGGGGGAGGATTGAGATCTCAAAAAACATGTTTAACCCCGCCGCATTTTTGCGCCTGTCCAAAGTCAGGAGCCTCTGGCCTTTGTTAGTCTTGTATCATTTTTAATTTTAGTTTCTTGTGTATAATTTGGAGTTTAGTATGACGTCCATTGTCACTGAACTAGTATACATATTTGTTTAGGGGCCAGCTGAAGGACGCCTCCGGATGCGGGAGTTTCTCGCTGCATTGAAGACCCATTGGTGGCCTTCGGCTGTTGTCTGCTCTATGGTCGGGTTGTTGTCTCTTTGACACATTCCCCATTTCCATTCTCAATTTTATAACATGTATAAGTTTCAAAACATTTGGTTTTGTCAAAGTAAAGTTAAAAATGAAACGGAAAATTCAGCATTTTTTCATGTATAAAGGTACATAACTCAAGAATAGTGAAAGTAACACCACCCAAATTCAAACTTGATCTGTGTTTGATGGAATAAGCATTGTGTATAAGTTTCATAACTTTTGGTCTAGGCAAACTAAAGTTAGAGAACGGAAACCAATTTCGAGACCTATGTACGTACGGAGGTATGGACTTACAGACGGACAAGGGTAAACCTTAATCCCCCTTCGCATAGCGGCGGAAGCATGAAAAGTCAAGCAAACGTAGGTCAAACAAGTATGCGAATAAACACATTTTGAGAAGAGAGTTTTAAAGTATGGGCTGAATTACAAAAGAAACTTTTTCAAAAAATGAAAAAAAAAATGTTTGTTACACTCTTTTTGGGAAAAGGAAAATAGGAAAATAGATATTATATCTATATCTCTTATGACTGAGCAGAAATGATTATTTTAACACCACACAATATTCAATACTTCACTGGTTTCAATATAGAATAACACATACAATAAAAGGCACTTTTTAATCCAACATTAAGATGAAACAAACATACTACTGTACTTTCTGCAATTAAGTTGTTGGAG